GAGAAAATTGTTAGGAGCTCTCCTAATAGCAGTTTTGTCTGGATAAAATACATGGCTTTCATGCTCAATTCAGCTGATATTGAGAAAGCCCGTGCTATTGCTGAAAGGTATAATTTTTACTAATGTGGTTGTTCAGTATATGTAGGGAGGGAAGTGAGATGCGGACATATGCAAACTTGATTGATATGAAAATTTCTGTCATGCTGAGCTTCTTCTTAGTAAATCTTATGTAGGATTTCTAGATTATTGAGACAGAACCAAACAAAGTCATCAAACTACTTGGTTTAAATTAGATTATCCATATTAACTTGTTCAATTGAAAAATAGAAAATAGGGGACAAAAAGCAATATTGACCTGTTGACTGTTGTCTCTGCTGGTTTATTTGGCTGGGTGATAGCTCATCAGCCAAAATTCCTCAAGACTCAAATAGACATAGGTTTGCTTTCCTGGATGATTTAGCATCTTTCTTGATCAAAGTCTTTAGTTTAGCATATTGGTTGTGGTTCATTATGGTCTGATTGAAATTCATATCTCCGATTAATTTCTTTGTATCCTGAAATTTCATTTTCCTACATGTAAACATGTCATAATTTCAGGTTTTAAAATTTTTTTTCTGCTTATTTTTCTTTGCATATGACCATTATTTTATCATTTTCTGAGACTCATTTTAGAGGTTTTAATGCTTATCAATTTCTTAACTTATATTAAGCATTTTTTTTGGTTTGCCTCGTTGCTATATAAACTAGTTTAACAACAGAAAATATTGAAGTTATTAGAGTGGCTGTCCCAAATTAGAGATGCATATCCACTGCAGGACACTCTTATTTTGTAATTGTGTGTTATCTAAACTTTTTCTTCAATATTATTCTTTTCTTTGAAGGTCTTTGAGAACAATAAACATTCGAGAAGAAAATGAGAAGCTAAATATCTGGGTGGCTTACTTTAATCTGGAGAATCAATATGGGAATCCTGCAGAGGTAACCTAGAATCTGCAATGCATCTTTCAATTGAGTATGGGTGTTTGTTCCAAAATTATTTCATATCAACGTAACTTCAATTGAGATGTTATTTCAGGAAGCAGTACAAAAAATATTTCAAAGGGCATTGCAGTATTGTGATCCAAAAAAGGTACATTTTGCACTTTTGGGCATGTATGAGAGGACTGAGCAACATATATTGGCTGGTGAGCTACTTGACAAAATGACAAAGAAGTTTAAGCACTCATGCAAGGTTTTTGTGAATTCCTGTATCATATCTTCTTTTCAGAACTTTGAGAAAATCTTGATAAAATCTTGTTATTTACATATTAAGAATTTCAGGTTTGGTTGAGGCGGGTGCAGATGCTGTTGATGCAACAGCAGGATGGGGTTCAATCTGTTGTAAACCGTGCTTTACTATGCCTTCCACGACATAAGCACATTAAGTTTATTTCACAGACAGCTATACTTGAGTTCAAATCTGGGGTTCCCGATAGAGGGAGATCTATGTTTGAGGGAATTTTACGGGAGTACCCGAAGAGAACAGATTTGTGGAGCATTTACCTCGATCAAGTGAGCTTTTTTACTAGTTGATTTTTGGTTATATATATAATTTATATACATATGTATGTGTGCATATGTTACATTTTTCAATCAAACTTGACAGGAGATTCGACTTGGAGATGAAGATGTGATTCGTTCTCTGTTTGAGAGGGCAATTAGCTTGAGCTTACCACCCAAAAAAATGAAAGTGCGTATACTTTTTCTTGCATTTACAGCATGTTTGGGATGTTTGGGATGTTGCAGGATAAGCAGTTGTTTTTCCTTTCCTGTTTGGCCTTATATATCTGTTCCTTTTGCAGTTTTTATTCAAGAAGTATCTGGATTTTGAGAAGTCTCTTGGTGATGAGGAAAGAATTGAATCTGTTAAACAGAAGGCTATGAATTATGTTGAAAGTACACTAACTTGAAGTTATCCGGAACAATGAAAGTCGATAATCTTTACCCTCTATAGTGCAGCCAACAATAATTCAGAACTTAATGGGAGAAAAGATGAGTAGTGTGTTCGCCACCTACATTACATTGCCTTGGAAGCACCGAGGATATGAGTGACAGTTGCATCGAGGTGTGTTTTATGAGATGAAAATGTCTTTTTCCATAATGGCTCCTGTAGCCGTTCTGCTTTTGGTTTGTGTTTTCAAGTTTTTTTTTTTTTTTTTTTTCAATCAACATTAGGTGTTTAAGAGGAAATGGGAGGAATTTTCCCTGAAACATGGGTCGCTTCAACCCAACTCCCCACTTGTTCCGGGGCTCCCCCTTTACTCTCCCTGAACTTTTGGATACTGCAAATTTTGATCATTTGAGCTAATAATATCCAAATACATGTGCAAAGTAAACATGTATCAAAATAGCATAAATATCGTTAGAGAATCCTTGGTAATAGTCAATATCAACAGAGAACATGAATGCTATCTTCATCTTCATATAGAGGAAGAACCCGATCTATGGTTTCTTCTATTACTTGTATTTTGACAAAATACAGAAGGCCATTTCCCTCACCTGAAGTTCCAAAGTGTAACTGTTGTTGTAAGGTTTTTGAATCGAAAGAATGAAATATCCCTTGTATTTACAGATATCTATTGGCTACATAGAATCAGTAAACGATTAAAACCGCATCTCGGGGAATGTCTGTCTGCGGCAAAGGGGAAGGGGAAATACAATTAAGTTGATAAACAACACTGAAGATAGGAACTCTACAGAGGAAAATTGCCCTTTGTGAATCAGTGAAGAGGGAAAAAACCAGACATGCGAGAAGATTCAATTTCATCCCTTGGCTGTTAACCGGTTTCTACAGTACATATAACAAGGCATTACCACAATCTTCATTTTGATAGCAAAACTCAAATTGCTATAAAATGATCCTATTCCATATAAATCTTCTAAGCAACTATTTATAAAAAAAGGATGCACTCTTTTGGCAGAAAATCTTGTTTGGAGCAGTTTCAAACATTTTTACAAACATACAACTTAATATCATCCAGAGCCTGTTTACGGCACTGTATCTGAAGTTCTTGAATGTGACTCAGTGTTGCTCTAGCCTGCATAAAACAAAAATACAAACATAGAACCAGATGAATTCAAAAGCATTTACCAAGCAAAAAAAAAAGAAACATTTCCAGATAACCCAACAATGTTTCACCTGATGAGGACGCAATGAGTTGAGCAAATGGTGCAATTTCTCAAACATAAGACATATCTCCTCTGCACGTCTTGCATACTGTGATGGTCTCTCAACCAGAACATCAGCAAGCTCCAAAATATTTAGTTGCAATTCTCTGTTAAGCGACCTCAATTCCTTCTTGAAATCTAAAAATGGTGACAAGTTTCATCAATAAGTATCTCATATAATCCACTTTACACAGCAAAGAGAAAAATACTGATAATAGAATCGGATTATCCAACTGTCCTATAGCCACAAAATCCCGCTGAAAGAACATATGTAAGTACAAATTACACAAAAAATTCATTCAAAAAATGTCTCCTAATTTTCCACCTCATGAAATTAGATTACACTCAATAAACTTATTCTCTTCAGTCATAACTAATTTATAAAATGTTTGAATACCATACAATCCTTTTTACTTATCAACTATCCTCCAATGAAGCCTAAAAATCATCTAAATGTGGAAACATAATACCAGTAGCAACCATGAAACAGGAATGAACTCAATTTAATGATTTCACAAAATCAAAGAAACTAAAATGAAACAGCAGGAAATATAAATTACCAATATTAGGTCCTTTGGGAAAGAGTTGCCGTAACCGACGTTAGCGCAGTGAATGAGTCAAGATTTCGTTCACGCAGACGTCTCGGGGGAATCCAGAGAAAGGGCTCTTTTGAATAAAAAAACTTTTACGAAAGGTCGCCGACTGCTACTAAGAACCTAAGAGAACTTTTCAAAATTTGGGTTCGAAAACCTTGTGTAGATCGGGGGAAGAAAGAAGGGTCGAAGTTTAGACCGCTCACAGTAGTTCTACCTATAGAAAAGATCATCAGAGAGAAGTAAGAAATGCCGATGAACAAGAATGTCATATAGTTCAGGAGCTAGATTAGTTGCCGATGAACAAGTAAGAATTGCCTCAACAAAAATGGATGGAATTGGACCTAAAAAAGCCATTCAGGTTCGTTATCGATTAGGTATCAGTGGAAACATAAAGATAAAAGAGTTAACTAAGTATCAGATCGACCAAATTGAACAAATGATAGGTCAAGATCATGTTGTTCATTGGGAATTGAAGAGGGGAGAACGAGCAGACATCGAACGATTCATTTCTATTTCTTGTTATCGTGGAATTCGTCATCAAGCCCTTACGCGGTCAACGAACTCATACTAATGCTAGGACTTGTCGCAAGCAAATTCGGAAATGAAAGAAGTCTACCGAAAGCCCTTGGTACTTGTCTGATCAATCACACTGATAGCTTCAATAGTTCACTTCTTTTTTTTTTTTTTTGGTATTTCACGGTTACGAAAATTTAAAATGTGATGTATCAGTAAAAAAATTATTTATAAATGATTTAAAAAAATTTATTTATATTATTTAAATAATTGAATTAAATATTAGAATAAATCAAGTCATTTGAACATGTTAAAAGTTTTCTTAGTACGAGCACTTGAACACTTAAATTTATTTAATAAATAGATTTAATTTTTAAATATTTATTATTTTTTTATTTATTTATTTTAAAATATTAATGATTTCGAATAAATATGCTTAAACAATAAAAAATATAATTATTTAAATAAAATTTATTTAAATAATAAAATATAATTATATAAAATATCATAATTTTTTAAATTAATTTAATTAATGATCATTCATTTATTATAAATAAACTTTTTTATCTATCAATTTTACTATTTTTAATTTAAAAAATTTTAAAATTTTATTGTATCTCCTAAACATAATTATTTTTAAAATAATATTATTCACCCTCCAATCCCACATCTCTTTCTTTCTTTCTATTTCTATTTTCTTAAATCTACTGACAACTAATCCAGTATACGTATAGTAGGCCTCCTTCGCCACTCCACTAGTGGCTCGGCTTCGTCCTAGAAGCTACTGCTTCCGCCTCTCTAGGCTTCGCTATCGCTCATGACTTGTATTGTAGTCATAGTCTTGTAGTCGGCCCGGAATGCCTCTGTAGTCTTTCTAATGCTAATGCCTTCTTCCTTGCCGCCAACGTACGCTACTAGGAGGGTAAGCAAGCTACCTACAGCTCTTCAAATCCTATTCAGTCTGATTAGATATGTCACTGAAACAATCCGTTCTGCCTCTGTTTTCTTTTCGGATTCCGAGGATGAGCCGGCCGATCCTAACAAGGAGCCGGACGACGAAGCCTCCTCCTCAGATAAAGATGTCTCCGACGCGGCAAGAACAACTTTTTCTATTGTTCTTTTTTTGGGTCAGGAGAGACAAAAGAGAGATGCTTTCTATCAGTAAAAAAAAAGCGGATACTGCCCTCCTCCCATGCTCCCACGGTCCGCTTACCAAGGAATAGAAAGGGAGGACCCGGGGCCAGAGCAAGTTGGGTTGGGGTATAGAGCCGTAAGCGCAGTGGTAGACGCAGTTGCCTTCGATTGGAGGCCGAGGCTCCGGTGCCGATTTAGGGTTTTGCAAGTAATCTTTGTAGAGCCTGCGTGGCGGGTACGCGGCTGTTGCCATCACTAGTCGGCCAAGCGACGACAGATTTGAAATAGAACAAACGGGCTCGAAAGGGATGGTTATATTCCGGGCCTGATTGAAAGCCTGTGGGCCCAAATTTGAACTGGACCCGAACGGGGTAATTCTGCAAACCAAACAGGGACAAAGATGTCCGGTTAAAAAAGGAGAGGCAGAGTTTTCAGTCAACGTAAAAGCCAAAAGGATCGTTAAAACGGTTAAATATAAAAGGAAAAAGAAGGGGCCCACTCTAATTTTAGCTTTTAGCTTTTTCAGATTTTCTTTTTGAAGCCAATTTTGAAGGTTAAATCCTTGAAACTATTTTACTTCCAATAAACAATTTTTTTCTGAATTAAACTTTCTTTTTAATTTATATGTTATCGTCAGCAGGTGATTTTCTTTGATCAGATTTCTGAACTCTTCAGCATTTGAAAATGATGGAGGTATTTCTCTTTCTTTTTCTTTTTTTTTTTTTTTTTATTCTTTTACTTTTCGTGCTGTAATTAGAATTTGGTTCTTCAATTATGATCCTTTTAGAATTAGGAATTTAATGCATTTTTATTGTTTTTTTTTATCTTATTTCGTTGCCCGGAAATTGGGATTGTGTATATTGAAAGTTTTTGTGATTGGATCTCTAGAAAATTAATTGAGATTTGGTCAATATCAAATTAAGCACAAAGAATGAGCTAAGCGATTAAAGAAATTGAAAATTTTGTTCTTAATTAGGGTTGGATTATTCCTTTTCAGTTTTCATATTTATTTTAGGTTAGGATAGGACCTGAAAATCATTGTGTTTATGACATATTATTGCCGCGTGTTATAGAAATTAAAAGAATTTGTTGCAGTCCATCTTGCCACCATATGAAATTCAAGGTTTGTTGAAATAATTTATGAAGAATTTTTTTAATTTTCATTATTCTAACGATTTAACTTTAAAGACCAAACCATAATCCTTTGCTGTAAGTTTCTTTTCCTTTTTTTTTTTTTTTGGTGGATCTTAGTATAGGTAATTCGGGTAAAGATCCCAGGTAAGAAAGCCGGTGGCAGTGATAATTTTACATAGATTTTGCAGGGGATATTTAATTGACTGTTAGAAATAATTCTTAATCTGGTTAGGATATATGATGTTGATCCATCTTTGTTTTTGTATTAGAAGCTCGATCAATATGTTTCTTTGTTGCCAATAGGCTATCGGGGTTAGAAGATTTTGTCTGCAACTCCTTTTGGTTGCCAAGTAGTTTTTCTTATATGCTTTAGCTGACATCATTTTGTAGGCATCAGCACCTAGCACAGAGCCTCCTGCAGGTGATGTAGAACTTGTACCAGAGAAGATCAAAGATGTGAAAGAGGGGGGTCCTGCATTTCACTGTGACCTTTGTGATGTAGAACTAGTTTTCAAGATAGCTCAAGCGCTCCTCCCAGGATTAGCTACAGCTTGTGTGGACAATACAACAGGTGGTATTTTCAGGTCCCCTGGTTCAGTAGCTGCTGATATTAGAAAAGAGATGGTGGAGTATCTAACGCAAAGAAGTGAAACTTATGTGGCTGAATCTGTTGTCTTGGATGGTGGTCCAGAGGCTGAAGCATCTAACCATCCTTATGATATCATTGCTTCTCTTGTTGATGACTTTGCAAGTTCAAAGAGGAATTTTTTTAGTCGAGTTTCAGGATGGCTACTAAGTGAGAGGAGAGAAGACAAGATAGATGATTTTGCACAAGAAATGGAAATTAATGGGTTTTGGTTGATGGACAAGAGAGAAGTAATTGTACAAACTTTGGTGAAGAATATCGACTTCAAGAATGAATTTCACTGTGACATGAAATTTAACTCAGCAGATGAACTTGCTCTGCATGTGCCAACTTGCAGCTATAGATCAATGAACTGTGAAAATGAGGGGTGTGATGCTATATTTTCAGTTAATCAAATAGAGAAGCATGATTCAGTTTGCCCTTTCAAGATAATTCCTTGTGAACAAAAGTGCTCAGATAGCATCATGAGACGTGAGATGGACAGACACTGCATTACTGTCTGTCCGATGAAGCTTGTGAACTGTCCTTTCTATTCAGTGGGTTGCAAATCGGCCATACCTCAATGTAGTATTGAAGAACATCGTTCTGAAAACCTCCATTCTCACATGCTATATATTCTTCAAGGCATACACAAGGAAGCATCTGTGGAGATTCTAAGAGAACGGGTGGAGCAACTTGAAAAGGTAAGTCAACATGTGATTGTGATTGTGAATTTCTTGCTCCCGTACGTTTTTTTGTTTTATTTTTTTGCTTCTAGAGGCAACCAGTATCTAATATCAAATGATAGATAAATTACTATTTAAGCTCTGGATATCTTTCTTTGCCATTTGTAAAGCCATTCCATGAAACATCATGATGAAGGACTTTATAGAATTATCTAACATAACTTTTATGGCTAACTTGAATTTCTCACTCAAAACAATCATACTTGGAGAAAGTTTTACTAACCTGGTAGAACCAAATCGGCTAGCATGTACTTATATTACTGCTTAAACTTTGGAAGCAGATAACAGACGTTAACGGATGTCACATAAAAGATGCCTGCAAGATTAGGATTTCAAGATCTATACGACATTAGAATGAGTTGCTAATGCACATGCATTTAGCAGCCTTTCTTTCTCATATGGCTGATTGCTTTTCAACATATGCTTTATAGGCAGTAGGTGCACAGAGCTTAAATTCAAATGAAAGCTGCATATTACATCCACTTGTGACCTTGATTCTTTTTTCATTTTTATGTTACAGAATTGGTTGTTACATATCACTGATTGTTTCAAAAACCCAAACTTTGGGCACTTTCCCTTTATGATCACACATTGAACCTCGATGCCTTCACAATGGTTAATTTCAAGTGGCTTCTACTGATGCCACCACATTTTTGCGATACCACATGCAATTGGACAATTTTCTTATGTCTGGCTTTTTGTGATTAATTTTATTTTCACCAAACATTTTATATGATTTAAACACTTGAGGAAAGAAAGAGAGTAAAGCTCAACTTCAAAATCTGCAGCATAAACCATAGAGGAATGAAATGAAAGACATTTCTAACAAATTGCCATGTTGCTGTTCTGAGCCTCTGTTGTTAACATGTAGATGATAAACTTTTTGTCTCTTTTAGTCAAAGCTACATTTTTCTTTTCACTACAGGCATCCTCTCGTAATCTAGCAGACATCCGAGATGTGAGATCTCTGACATTCAGAGTCAAGGATCTTGATGCACAGCTTGGGCCCTTGGAAGTTTGTGCAACAAACAAAGTTGATGAAGAAGCCACAAAGACCACACCAGATCTTGAATCTCGGGAAGTTAGTGATACAAACAATGATACTGAAAAAGCTGCAGAAACTGAAGTCATAAATTCTGAAGCAGAGACTCCATTGGAAGTTACTCCAACAAGCACAGACAGTGAAGAAGCTTCAAAAACTGAAATCAAAGATTCTGAAGCAAAGCTGCAGTCATTAGAAGTTGCACCATTAAACAAAGATAGTGAAGAATCTTCAAAAACTGAAGTTAAGGAAGCTGAAGCAAAGCTGCAGCCATTAGAAGATGCTACAACAAGCAAAGAAATTGAAGAAGCTCCAGAAAGGACAGTCAATCATTCTGAAGCAATGCCTTCATCATTAGAAGTTACTCCAACTGACAAAGTTAATGAAGCATCAACAGAGAATTCAATCAAGGATTCGGAAGTTAGCACAACGAACAAAACTAGTGAAGGTGGTAAAGGGACTTCAAACCATTTTCCTAACAAAGTTGAAAGCTAATGTCCGACTCGTTGGCTAAGATGACATGAAGAAATCTTCTGCCTCTCCAATATATTACTGCATGTGGATTTTTCCTTATATTCTTTCCCTTTGTTGAATTTTGGGGGTTATATTCTATACCCCTCAACCTTTTTGTTGGCTTACATTTCTTTTTTAGCATACTTTTCATTACAATTTTGAGAGATTAAAGAGGAAACTTGGTTCTTCTCAAGGGTGTAAATGATACATTAGTATTCCTAAGTTATTTGGGTTCGATTCGAATAAAACTTGAATTCGGTTTGATTATTATCGAGTCGAGCTAGAGTAGCTCGACTCATCGATCGAATCGAGTTTGAATATTTTTATATCCGATTCAAATAACTCGCGAGCCTAATCGAGCTTTTATATTTAAATATTTTTTATTATTTTAATTAATAAAATATTTCGAATTTAAGTTCAAATATAAATAATAGAATTTTTGTCGAGTTTAAGAATTGAGCTTATTTTTACATATTAATCGAGCTTAATCGAGTAAGCTTGAATAATTCAATTTCGATCATGAATCGAACTCGAGTTAAAAAAATAAAACTTAATCGATTTTAAACAGAATATCGAATCGTAAGTTGAGGGTTGAGCTTAAACTTCTTATCGTATTAACTCGACTTGATTTAATTACACTCTTAGTTCTTCTCTTCCATTAAAAGAATTTCACGGGGGAGAACCAGCTTGGACACATCTATCTATTGAAAGTAATCTATTATTTTCCGCTTGGACACCTTGAAGAATATCTACTCATTGATTTTTATTCTTTTTGGATAGATGATATTAAGTTAATTGTTTTTTTGTCTTTCATAAATTTTATCTGTTTATCTCAAAATTCGAATTCATTATTTTATTTTTAAAATTAAATCTTAAAACTTAATGGAGGAAATGTATTTTTAGGTGATGTGATAATTTTAAACAGAAGAAAAGAATATACAAAAATAATATAATTTAAAATTTTAATAAAAATTATACATAAATTTAATAAAAACAACAAAAAAATATGTGTCTTGCAGTTGTCTGTCAACGAAAATATATATGACATTGTAATTTTCATGTTTTAATGTTTAAATTACACTGAAATTGATGCATCGAATGAGGATTTGATTTTCCTGTGATCCACCAATCAATCAAAATATGATTTATATCATCAGTTCCAAGCATAAATCCAGCGTGCTCCAAATCACCATCAATTACGATTTCTTTAAGCGATTCTAACTTTGATTTCGCTATAAACACCTTCTAATTCAAGTTTGGTTTAGATTTAAATTTTTACATTTGATCAGAAAATTTTACTTTATTTTTAAATAATTAAAATTTTTATCTTGTGTCTTTTTGGCCAAAGAAAAATTTTATCTTTATAATATATACTTTAAAGTTTCTTTTAATTCTAGTACTCAATTATCATATAAATACATAGATGGAACATAATCAAATTCGAAGATTAGTTCAAATAAAAAATAAAATCAAACCACAAGTGCCTCATAATCGTGGGAGTGGTGATCATTGAAGGATCAACGCAGTGAAAGACTTTGTGACAGACGAAAGAAGAATGTAGATGAGAGCTTTCCAGCTACCATGATTCACCCGATAACTTGTGAAGCAAATGTTTGCCACAAGAGGTTATGATCCAACTGCTACACGACAGCCATTGCAGGTTATTTGGTTTTTCAACTTACAATCCAACAAAAAGCTCAGATGCAAATTGCAATACAAAGGTGGAGGCGTCTTGGCCATTATTTTATCCTTCCACATTACGGATAGGTTAATACTTGAAAATTTTTAAAACATTGCAATTTAAAACAATGTTTGCAGTAAAGAAACATTGAATATATTGTATGAAATCAGGCCAGCATAGAAAAATGCCATAGCAAGTCCCATGGCTCTAGGATGGTCGCATCCATGGATGAAAAATACAAAATTCAATAATCGAAGTTTAACAATCGGCTGAAAATTTCGGAGTGTAAATAACTTTTGAAAAAAACAAAAATTAGCTTCAAGATTACTGCCATGAATTAACCGCGAATTCCCCGGTTCAGACTGACCATGCGATTTGAAGCGTCCATCTGGGAACCTCTCATTCCATAACCCGTCCTCCCAGAATATCCACCTGTTACTCGTGACTGACCTGACCGATCCTTTGAATAACCACCTCCAGCAGCCTGTCCTAATGCCAATGGTCTACCACCAGCACCATATCCAGAACGTTGGGAACTACCTTGCCTTCCCTGAGTGAAGGAAAACTCTTGCCACCTACCACCAACAGCAGCTGCCCCAGCAGCATATTCCTGGTTATCTCGATGCCTTAGTGGCAGATCCAATCCAGCACCACCAATTCTGGCCTCTACTGCCCTTTCATTGCTTTCAGCAAGTACAGAAAGCTTCTCTGTTAACCGGAATGCCAAAGCCTGCAACCTTGAGTGCTCAACATCATGGAAGACAATGCACCCGGTTGGCTGGTCCCACTTTGCATGCAGTTCTTCATTTATCATCACTTTGCAAACTATACTATGAGTCTGGGCTTCTGAGAGGTCAAACATTTTGGTGAGCTGGTCCAAGCTTAGTGTATCATAGGATGAACAGTAAGTAAAAAGGTAAGTTCTCAAAGCCTCTTCCTTGATCTTGGCTTTCAGCATTTCAAGCACATTCTCTCGATTTCTAAGGAGCTTCCAAGCATCAAGAGAATTAATGATATCAAAGGCCTTCTGGAAATCTCCCCTGCAAAGAGCCCTGGTGGCAGCCATTACATGGTCCCGCACATTTTCAGGGGGACCTGTAAATGTCTGCCTCTCACTCACCTCAAGCAACCGCCTAAAAGTCTTACTTATCACCTTGCGTTTGGCATCAAGGATGTGGGCTGCCATGTTAGGCACCTCAAGCAGCATGGCACATATCAAATGCACAGCCTCCAGAAGCTCAAGGTTTATGTGCATATGGTAAGGCATATGTCGCCTCCTTTCCAACCTTTCCTGATAGAATCCACAGTTTCACATGTGTAAGTCCTTAAACAATTATATAATAGCATGGAAGAGCTCATAATATCGTAATGTTTCAAAAAATGGTATAATTTACATGCATTTAAGGCTGTCAGTAGCCACATATGGGTTTCTGGAAGCCAACTTTAACTTATCATCACAATTGTGCCAATGATTCGATATCTTTATCCCAAATTTTTTTAAAAAAATGGCAAGTAGCAAACATACTTCAACAACTAGATTTCCATAAGAGTTTGCCATCTAGTTGATGCTACTAGCCTACTATGTTTGTTTCCATAACTTAAACATCTAAATGCCTAATCTAAACATCATATAATGAGGATATCTGTTCAACTCCCATTGGAAAGAATACCATCTAACCAACTAATCAAAATATACTTATTAAAACTAATATCAATCAGAAATTTAACGTGCAAAACATCAAATGAAAAAAGTAGAAAAAAATTAAATAACAATGTGGAACCCAGTTAAAACAATTGGGGATTATAATCTGTCAAGGAATTATATGATGATCAGTACCTGTTCTGGAGTTTTCTCATGGTATCGACTTTGTGAGACACCTTGTGCAAGCAATTCCTTCACTCTCCCACCAGAGTACAGTTCAGAAAGGCAGCCATGTCCTTCAGCAATTAGTCCAACACGGAAGGCACAAAGTCCAACCTGTGCCATTGCCCGGTTAAAAAGTATTTGTGTTGAAACATCCATATGCTGAATAATATCCTGCAAATGACTCATCAGCAGCAAATCACGAGCGCTTGAAAACTCATCGAAAAGGGCATGGTGATAAATATCACAAAGCATGGCACGAGCTTTGGTCCGCTCATCTCCATTTCTGTATATGAGAAATACTAGGATATCCATTAATGCTCTGCTATTCTCAGGGAAGGTGGGCTTCCAAGACACAAGCTCTGGAGTAACAACAAATGCAGATGGACCCCGATTTTCCTCCACTTTAGGCTCATCACCAACTTTTTCTCCATCAGCAGCTTCCGATAGCTCAGCCAATTTCCTCATAGCATCATAAACCTCTTGAGGCTTATAATAGATGAGTTCAACACGCTTAAGAGCAACTTTGGCAGCAGATTTCAAATCACCAGTATGCTCTAAATACTCCTGGACGTTTTGAGCAAGGACCAAAAACATAGGTTCATCTCTCAGTCTTTCAACATACTCACGCGTGTGTGGATCAATGCACTGCAAGCTCTTGAAGAACTCATTATCTATTCTCTCAAGGAAAGCCACCAAATTTCCCCAAACACGGATTCTGCCTTTATAATCAGCTCCCTTCTGGGTTTCATACTCATCAGGCTCAACCATATCATCAACCACAATGTTAGGGCACAGAACAAGAATGTCCAATATGACAAGCATATTTTGTACACACTTCTTCCATACATTTATAGGCATGTGTCCACTAAGACCTGGATTAACATCAAACTGTGCAGATATAACACTGATAAGAATCTCAAGCTTCTGTGCAGGAGTCTTCGCAACCCTTGTCAAGAAGGTGAGCTGCTCAACCTGTTCAAACTTTCCAGTTCCCTTCCTTCCCCTAGCAGCCACAACCTCTTTAAACTTCTTGTTAACTGTATCCCAGGTGATCTCACTAGGGTCCTTCTTAAACTCCCGATCCATCAACTTATCTTTCTTGCTCAGTTTCTTCTCCCAAGCCCCATCAGTAGCATCATCCTCTGGTTCTTCCACCTCATCTTCCTCATCGCTAGACTCAGCAATCTGTGATGGATCCTCAAACTCAGAGCCAGTTCCATCAGATTCCTCATCTTCATCCTCATCTTGAAACTTCTCCTCCTCACTCTCAGGACTCTCCCTATACTTATTAATCAATTCCTCATACAGCTTATTACTCTTCTTCAGCTTTTGTTTCATCGAATTCAAAGCCTTGTGATTACTACTACTCATTTTCTTTTTTGCTTCCTTATTAGACAAAGCTTCTGCTAAGAAATCCTCCAACATAACAAGACACTTAATATAAAGATTTGGAACTCTGTCCGACTTGGTAACACGCATAACCTTCTCCAGCTGTTTATTGATCTTATCAAAACTCTCTTGCAAGCTAACCCAGTCATTGATTTTCATTGCATTTTTCATCTGGTCAACCGTAACTGTCATCTCTTCAAACCGCTTATCTTTAGCGGATCTAACCACTCTCTTTTGCCCTCTGAACCATCACTATCAGTAGCATTCCCTTGTAGATATCGGCTTCCAGCAGCAGTGGCCGTGGTTTCCCCAGCTCCCCCTTTCTCAGTTTCGTCCTCAATATCAGTATCATCTTCCTCAGTGTCACTACCACCCTTTTGTAAATTGGCAATAAGTAGATAGTTATCAGAATTCAGCAAAAATATCTAACCTTCCACTAGAATATTAGGTAAAGGCTATATATTTCAAATTCAAACGTCCAGAGATAAACAAAAACAAACCTGAGTCCAGAATCGGGATGCCATTGTCTTTTTCTTCTTTAAGTTAAATTAGTTGAAAGCTGCAAAAAGAAAAAAAATCAAACTTTTTCAAAACTATATATATGATAGGCTGGATCGAACGAAGAATAAGCTTAAAATTAGCAATAATCAAATTTCGAACCTATCAATTCCGTTGAACAATTCAGGAAAAATATTCAAAATTTTCAATATTCACATGAGAAAAGATTTTTTTTTCTTTATTTTCAGTTAATTTAACAACAAGAAAATTTTAAACGCCTACGAAACAAGGAAACCGTATCGACAGCAGAAAATTCAAAAACAAAGAAAAAAAGTTGACGGCTGAAGCACCTGTTTTAACAGGAGAAATAAGAGTTAGCTGGATGCCGAAGGAGCGATGCGTTTCACCGGAAAGTTAATTGATCTGAGCTTTTAATGTAAATCGCTGGAGACTAGCGACAGGTTCTGAAAGATAATTGAGTGAACTGAACTTAATAAGTAAAAAGAAAACAAGTAACTATAATAAATAAGGCAATAAGTTGGGCTGGGTCTAACAAATTTAAATCTTATTGGGCTGATTAGTAGAAATTTATTTAAATTGCAATAAAGCCCAAAATTGAAGGGCTAAATACATTAATTATGGGACAAGTAGCCCAATTTTAAACCATAAGGTCTTGGGTTTTGGAATTTTGGTTGAATATTTAAAAATTAGACAAAAAAGAGTTCAGAAGATAATTTTTTAATTTAATTAAAATTCACACATTTTGTTAATTTTCACAATTATATATGCATATTTATATAATACATATCATAATCTTATTGATTCGATCTATAATTTCAACAATGATATTTAAATTTCTTTAAAAAATAAAAGCAATAATATACTTATTCTAAACCCTATAAAATCAAACGACTTTGGATTTTTTTTAGACAATGAAATGATAATATTTTCTTACCAAGTATGCAATAATGCAAAAGAAATGACCGAATTAAAACATGGATTAATCCCTAATTATTTAAAGCAATAGAAAGTAGTAAAATTTTTAACAATTAGTTATATTCTAATTCAACATTCAAAACTTGAATTTTACGCTTGGATATTGTTTGGATTCTAAGAAAGAGACAAAAAAGAAAGAAAATAAAGAGTTATTTGTGGAAAATCGGATTTTCCAAGTACAAATAGAAGGGAAAGTTACTAAGTGGAAGGATTTGCAGTTTTGGGTGTTTTAATTGGATCTTAACAGAGTTTTTCTAGTCAAAACTGTGGTTTCTCCTTTGACCAAGTAGTTGGGATTGGAGTGGGAAATTTCAATATTATTCAAAGGAATGGAAAAGGAAAGTGCTAAGAAAGTCACTAAGTCAGAGACGACTCGAGCTTGTTACTACATTTGATTTTGAACAAGTCTATGTATTTATTCTCCTCATTTTCAGTTTGTAAAGAGTAAATTTTGGGTTAAAAAGTCGGGTCTCTCTCTGTTTGGTTATTCCAATTTCCAGCCCCTTGTAAACGTTGGAATTTTTTAGAACTTTTAAGGGATGGAATTGGTAATAGTTTGAATATTTGATATTTTGCATACATTTTGAGAGCATTATTTATAGCATAACAAATGGTTTTTTATTTTCTTAACTAATCTCATAAACCTCATTATTAATTTCAAAACTTTTAAAGAAAAGGTTTATCAAATTGATTATTTGTTTAAACAAAAATAAATAAATTAGTTATTATTGTTGTTGCTATCAAAACACGATGTATGATACATGATTATTCTTAACTCAACGGAATAAAGTTGATATAATATTAAATTTAAAATTTAATTCAATTTATTATATAATTATTTTAAAAAAATGATATCTAAAAAATTTAAATTCGAATTTAACATTGTAAATTTTTTTCTTATTCTCAAACTATAATATCATTTATATATATTAAAAAATCAATATGATTCTTTTATTAGTTAATTTTTTTACTAAATTCAATAATTATATAGGTTTGAAAACCGATTTATTATAATTATTCATGTATAATTAATTTAATTAAAAATATACATAAATTATAACAAATTGATATTACAATCAAAATACACATTTATCCTCCATTAAAAAAAAAAACGCAAAGTCTAACTTACTCAAAGTCTAAACAAGTCCAAATAAATGAATGAAAGAGAGAGCAAATGAGAGGTTCTAGAAGTAGAATTGGAGCAAAACAAATGGAGAACCAAGATCTGGTAAACGACCTTAGGCAAAGTAGAATGACCCGAGGAAACCGACGGAGCATCGGATTCGGAGGCAGTGGGCAACGGGGGGACAACGATGTGTCGTTGGTGTTGCTTTCAGACAAGCGCGTTAGACCATAAAAGAAATCTAATCCAGTTTTCGGCAGATAACGTAGATTCTGTTGGACTAAATTAAATCTAAGTTACAGCTATTTCTACTGTACTTCAAATTCAACAAATCCATCAAAACAAAAAGTAGCTAAAATTCTCGATTCAAACTCCATGTTTTTTTGGTATACATGCATTGGTCCTGTGCTTTCCTGCTACACTTTCTAGTCATTGCAAAAACAAATTCACCTTTCCACCTCCAATTTTTTTTGTTAGGATGACAATAAGTCAAGGTGGGACAAATTTTATAAATTTTTATTTTATTCTATTCGAATTTGATTTGATTTTATATTTATAATATTTGAATCTAATATAATTTGATAAATTTTTTATTCTTTATATTCAAGTTTTATTCAATTCAATATTATATAAAACGATATTTGATTCGATACGAAATTAATAAAATATTATTTTTAATATAAATATATAATTAAATAATTAATTAAAAAATAATTTATAAATATCGAGTGAGGACAAGAAACTCTACCTGACTTTTTTTATTATTATTCAACCTAATTCGAAACTTGATTTAAAAAAAAATCAATCTTATGAGATTGGGATAGAATTTGTCATAAACGGGTTAGATCATCATCTTCATTTCTTATCTTTTGGAATCTTTATTTGAAAAATCATATATATTTTACGAATAATAATATTTTATTTTATTTTATTGATGAGTTTTTCATATTGAAGTCAAGATAAAAATAAATAAATCTATATTACATGAAAATGAACCCAAAATAAAAAATTTATATAAGAGTTAGGGAATAGAGTAGAGAAACAATATCACATTGCTTTTAAACTATACTATAACAAGTTAAACCCATGTTTTGTTGTCTATTTAAAAGTAGAAAGCACATTTTAAAACAATAAATAAAAAAGATTACTCTATTATTTTCAAAGAATTAAAAGTATTAAATTTGGACATTTATGGATGATGAGAGAACATAAAGATTTTAACTTCCAAACACATATTAGGAATTTTTTCAATTTTGATACTTTTATTTAAGCTATTTTCTCACTATTAACGCAAAAATATATAACAATTTAACAGACTAAATCACAAAAAAAAAAAAAAAAAAACAGTGAAATATCAAAAGAAAAAAAATCAATAAAAACTTTGTTCCAATTAAAAAGAGACACGTGGATGTTTGTTAGAAGGTGACCGTACGGTTCGGAAGTACCACAAAAAAGAGGTTAAGTTGGCATGGAAATTCGAAAGGACAGTTGTCATCATTACATCACGCCAGCTCTCAACCATGGTTCTTTTGACTCGATAGCAGAGCTAAAATCAACCGATTTCAATGCGCGTGAAATTTACTATCATATAGTAAATGATAAACTTCAATCTCGTTCTGCCGTGAACGTTAAACACGTGGAACTATTATTTTCTCGGTCAAAGATAAAATAAAAAACAATTTTCAGACAGATTGTACTGTGGAGTACAACAAATAGAGAGCAGGTACGGCGGTTAAGAAAAGAAAAATCCCTCAATCATAATTTCGTTAAAAGAACATTAATTAAGAGTACAAAAATAATAGTTAGAATAATGTAAATATAAGATGATAATTTTATATTGTTTTCGAATTTAAATTTAATATTTTTTAACTATTAATTCAATTTCAAAACTTCATAATATCTAAAGAATAAGTAATAATTTAAAGTCATTAGTCTTAGCCATCCATGATACAATACCCCCTTCCTTCTTTTGTTCACCTAAAACCACAATTAGTTAAATAGATTCAAATCTAGTTAATGATTGTTAGCTGTAACATTATTAATTTATAATTTTTCTTTCATAAATAATATTAATAATTATATTTGATAAATTTAAATATTAGATAATAATACAATATAAAAAATATAAAAATAACATAATTTAATATTAAAAAATTTATATATGAATTTAATAAAAATTTAACATATCGATATTGATTATGATATAATAATTTTAATGTTTTATATATGTTTCGACTTAAAAAAAATATAATACGAATGATCAATCTTAATATCATAAAAATATTCCTTTATTTTGAAAAAGAAAAGTAAATTATTATGATTAATAAAAAAGGAATCTCAACATAATTAAAAATATTATCATTTTTAAGTAAATGAATCTTTTTATAATAACCAAAGAATGATAATAAAAGGTTTCATTGGATGTATTTTTGTAGAAAAAAAATTAAGGGGAAAAACAATTAGTAAAAATAAAGAGAAATTTCCTTGTGTTGCAGTCAAAAGAAGAAATCAACAAGTGGTTGGATGTTGTCTCATTATTATCACACCGATCTTTTGTTCCAACAGTTCCCTACCATTTTCCTATAAATAACTCTTGCAAGAATAGCACAAGAGAATCAGACACCAGCGCTGGCTTTTTCCTTTTCCTTTTGGAGATTTTAAGAAAACAAAAATCTCCCCAAGACATAGGCAAAGACCACCCTGTTTCAATCACCATCGTTCCCACATTCTTCGCTCTTTCTCACGTTTGGTACCAAACCCAAAGTTCCCTTTTTTGCCGCTCTTTTCGGTTTCCTTTCTTTCCTTCTTCTTCTTCTTCTTCTTCTAGTCTTTCCTTCAATTCATTTCTTGTCTCTTCTTCCTCTGATTTTGAGGTAAAGTTTTCTCTGCTTATCCATTTTGGTTGTTTTTTTTTTTTTTTTCCTTTCTTTAATGTTATTCTAAGCAGTACTGATTTAATATGTACATATAGGCATGAAATGAGACATTTTTTTTTCCATCTGGGTTTTTGTTTTTTTTGTTGTTTCATTGATTTATCAATGTTACAACCAACCTTTATTGTGTGTGTGTTTTTTTTCTCTTTTGGATTAAATACTAACCTGAGGAGGGATTTTTGTCTTCTAGGTTTCTGTCATTTTTCGTGTTTCATTACAACCCACATTTTTCCTGTTTTCAGGGGAGGTTTTTTTTTTAATAAACAATGTTAATGTTCCTTTTTTTGGTTTCATTTCTATGCTTTTATTCTTCGTTTGTGTTGTTATCCCATTTCATTAAAATCTAGTGAATTCATTGTTGCAAACTTAAACTTTTTCATGATTTAAATGGTTTTCTCCATCTATTTTCCTACTTTCTGGCCTTTTGTGCTTATGTCCATTTCACTCAAAAAGCAATGAAACATTAAAATGTAGGAATGTGATACATGGTTTCCTACAGCCTAGGATTTGCTCCTTTTAAGAAAAATCTGTTCTGATTAATATACTTGGATGAGTTAAACCTATTCTCCTTTCTTTTTCTTTTTTTTTTTTTTCATAATCTACAACATCTAACAAGGCATTCTCTGCATGCAGACTATTGACCTGGTTTTCTTTGAAGAACTTTAACTGGATAAATGAAAGGAAAATTTAAGAGTGGATGAATGATTTGTAATGCTAAGAGTATTAAGAGTTTCAAGGATTCCATGGAATCAACAAAATCCCTTCACTAATAGTTGCTTTTTTTGTGATTACCATTAAAGCAAATACTGATGTTAATGTATAGTTTCACAATATGGTATCTGATCATTTTTTTTCTTTTTTATTTATACTATTAGGTACGAAGACCCCATATATCTTTTTGGTTGAGATCTTTATTTGTGAAAATACTTCGATAATATGGGAGTATCTTTTTCGTGTCCTCTTAGTGATCTTGATGATCTGGACAGCCATTTTAAAGCTGTTATTGTAAAATCAATCAGTTTCAAGGATGAGGATGTAAACAAAGTATTGCGATCTGTCAGTTTTAATGGCCGTGTTTCAGAACCGAGAGCAATGGAATCATATGGTTCGAGGGAGATGATACTTGAAGGATCTTTAAGCTTTAACAAGAGGGAAACAGGGACCACGCTCTCATACAAGACTCCTAGCACTGATGGGGAGTATAAGGTGTCTGATAGACCAGAGAGCTGTAAGAATACAGATAACGATGAAATATTGCAGAGATCAGACAGCTTGTCTGAGAAAAAGTCCCATTCAGAATTTTCAGAACCGGGGTTGCAACAACATCATGCTGCATTAAAGTTGCAAAAGGTGTACAAGAGTTTCAGGACCAGGAGGCAGCTAGCAGACTGTGCAGTTGTTGTTGAGCAGAGATGGTTTGTATCATTTTCTGTGTATTCTATCAAGGGGATACTGGATACGAGATGGACATAAAATCAATCCTTCTTTTTCAACCATGAAAAAAGAAGCAAATGAAATGGTTTCATGTCTCTTGGTGTCCAAAAATCCTTTTCTTCATATTTAATCATATTTTAATTTTCATAATCCATTTTGTAGGTGGAAGCTGTTAGATTTTGCTGAACTCAAGCGAAGCTCTATTTCATTCTTTGAGGTAGAAAAACCAGAAACTGCTATTTCACGATGGTCTAGAGCAAGGACAAGAGCTGCCAAGGTAAGTTGTGAAGAAGGTGATGCAATCATGCAAACTCTTAAATGTGTTTGATTGCAATGCTGGTTGTGAGTGTTGTCTTCTTTTGCAGGTGGGAAAAGGCTTATCTAAGGATGAAAAAGCTCGGAAACTTGCTTTGCAGCACTGGCTTGAAGCGGTAATTACCATTCTAAGAATGAAAATTCATACTAAACTGCTAGTGTTCATATATGACTCTTCCTGATCATGTTTCTTGTTGTTCATAGATTGATCCTAGGCATCGTTATGGCCATAATCTCCAATTTTATTATGCCAAATGGCTTCACTGTGACAGTAAACAGCCCTTCTTCTACTGGTGAGATTTCATTGGACCAACAATAAAGTCAAGAAAATGATTTTTTCTTTTTAACAACTTAGGAAACCAATCTATCAACTTTGAACATGCAGGCTTGATATAGGAGAAGGGAAAGAAGTGAATCTTGAAAAGTGTGCTCGGTCAAAGCTTCAACAGCAATGTATCAAGTATCTTGGTCCTGTGAGTCTCCCCTTGCAATATCTTCCGTATTGTTTTGCAGAGCATGTAGCAATAGGTTTTGCCCTTAGTTTGGATCTAATATCATAAAAACTTCAATCAGAGTCAGAAAAATGATAGGATAAAACGTAAGCTATTGAACTATTCAATTTCATTTGCAACTTGGTTAAAAATTGAGTCATAAAAGTTTTTCTAATTTAGTTGAACCCTTATTTACCAATATATTTTTTTCTATTTGCAGACCGAAAGGGAGGCTTTTGAAGTAGTAATAATGAATGGGAAGTTTGTCTGCAAGCGGAGTGGGGAACTTCTTGATACCACAGGAGAACCAAAAGATGCGAAGTGGATTTTTGTTCTTAGTGCATTTAAGATTTTGTATGTTGGACAGAAGAAAAAGGGCACTTTTCAGCACTCAAGTTTTCTGGCTGGTGGAGCAACATTGTCTGCCGGAAGATTGGTTGTGGAAGATGGTGTTTTGAAGGTAGGGAAGCATTTTATTTATTTATTTTTGTGTTTAAAGATAGCTGGATCAAGTTTGTGTAGGACTTCTGATGTATTAAATAATTCTTTCAACTTGATAGGCGGTTTGGCCCCACAGTGGACACTACCTACCAACAGAAGAGAATTTTCAAGAGTTCGTGTCATTTCTTCAGGAGCACAATGTTGACCTCACAAATGTGAAGGTAAAGAACACTTTCTTCATTCTTATTTTAGCTTAAATGTATAGTAAAACTAGAGAACAAAGTTTTATTATGGGACGGGGAAAATGATGAACACAACAAAAAAATTTTCATTCTCCTCTAGCTCTTGACATACACTAGGCAAAAGATGCATCTTTTATTCCAAGGCAAAACTTCTGGCAAACTACATGGTTGTTTGGGGATAGGGGGAGAGAAAAATCGCTAAGGCACCCACTATCTGTATCTATCCTTCATTGTGATTCTCGACTTGGTCTCTAAAATCATGAAATTCTTGTTCCAGTCCTGTTTCTGTGGTAACTTTGTTTTTCAGGGTTATATTAGATAATTGTTTGGCCAAAATCTCCCACTCCCCTACTATTAGCGTACGAGCAGGGCACTGATGTAGTTCTTATGCTTTTTTACAGAAAAGCCCTTCCGAAGAGGAAGAAACTATCACCAGAAAGAATAGTACCCTCCAAAGCAATGAACTAGAAGCAGAAGGCTCGCAGCAGACTGAGGCGACAAATAGTGAAAACTCATCTCAGGAGAACACTGATTCAAGAAAGCAAGATTTTGATGCTACAGAAAATGCCAACAAGCCTACGTCAAGATTATCTCGAGGATTATTCTCAAAAATAAGTAGACTTCAAATACCAACAAGAAATGATGTGTTTGACATCTTTAAGACAGAAACCTTACCACCAAGTTGCCGCCGTGTGCATCCAGAATCCCCTACAGAAGATGGTTATGAAACAGCGGAAGAATTTTTGTCTGAGGAAGATTTCATGTTCACTAAGATCAATTTGTTTGGTGAAGATGATGACGAGGAAGATAAGAAGCCCATTCCCAAGGAAAAAATTATGAAAAGGATAGACTCCCATAAGGGAATGAAGTCATATCAACTAGCTCAACAATTATCCTCCAAGTGGTCGACAGGGGCTGGGCCACGGATTAGCTGCATGAGGGATTATCCTTCTGAGCTTCAGTTCCGGGTTTTAGAGCAAGCAAACTTGTCTCCAAGAGCAAGAAGTGCAAGTGCATCTCCTCAGACATCACGTTTTTACCCAATTGTCTTGACTCCAAGTTCTGTACGCTCATCTAGAAGTCCGCTTGGATCCAGAGCAAGTGATAGCAATGAAAAAGCAAAAGCCTAGGCAATTTTTAGATGAAACTGTCTATGGCATGTTGTGGTTAGAGAAGAAGATATAGGATTCTTTTCTGCATTTTTAAGCCTTTCTTTTGCATTTCCCATGCATGTAGATCTTATGCTGAAAATGAAAAGATAAAGTGAAAGGGTTATTAGGTCTGTCTACTCTGCTCTTCAGTTTAGAAAACAAAAGTTCCTTTTCTGTTATATCAACAGATTTGTAAATCCTGCATTAACCTCAAAAGGAGATTTGTAAATCATCTAAGAGATAAAACTCTTGGAAATTTTAGAAGCACTGAAAATTTGGATTTAGAATGTATCCGGACTTGTTAGCTTTCTAAAGTTGAGCTTAATGACATTGTATGCATATCTGCTCACTTTCTAGTTAAAAAAAAAAAAAATCTATGACATCCAAAATAGTGAAAAAAAATATTAAGAATTATAAGATGTTGCAGTCAGGATTGTGATACTTCTGGTGATAGATCACATAGTGTTCCATCTCATATCATGAGCATGCTTTAAAGTTGATAACAATCATTGACAAAGTCTACATGCTTATGCAATCTCTTAATCCTTCAGACCGGACATGGATAAATAATTGAGATTTAGCCAGGTTTTTAACATGAAAATCACATTCAAGTGCTGGAAGACACTAGAATTAATTGTCTGTTCCCATGGCTCTGCATAGAGTATTGCCAACAAATATATAAAACTGAAAACAATAACCCCCAAAACCCTCTTGAGTACAGAATTTTCATATCAATCTAGCAATCAAACTTCCCATTCTTCCTTTTTTTTTTTGGTACAAGACAAGGCTTGTGGTTGCTTTCTTAGCCTAAAGAGGAAAGTAACTTGTATCAGATGAGGTTAAATGGTTAATGCCAGACATAAAATGAAGAGAGTGGAAACTTTTGCTTTATGAAAGAAAACCATTGCTTAATGGACATTCAGGAGCTTGCAAATGTATAGAAAAAAATCATGCAAAAGAAGATTGATGTAATTATTGTGGCCAACTAAAATTGATAAAGGAAACCTAAACTATATATTTTACCCATGCAGAAAGTCTTAATTATTGTGGTCTACCAAAATATTGGCAAAGGGCTTCCAGAAATTTGAAGGAAAATGGCCAGTCAATTTACACCCTTGGTCAAGGTACAAGGTCTATACTAATGCCTTCTCAACGACTTACCTAGTCAATGATAAGAAGTCATTTAAGGAAAAAATGGTATGTTTCACTTTCAAATTTGTTTACATTTTAATCTATACAGGTTTTACCCTAAAAAAACATGTTTTTAGAGCATGTTCCTTAACAACAACTTGTCAAACACTGATATATAGTCATGCAGCTGCAACCGTCACATCTACATCATCAGTGCTTAACAGTTGCCTTACTATCATGAGGAGGCATGCAGCATGTAGAACACTTAAGCCCGGGAGAGCTAAGAGTTTCATGCTGTTGAGGTACAGCATTTTTTATGTTAAAATAAGATCAAGCTTTTTTTTTTTTAATTTCTTTGCATAATTTTGGGAAAGAACTGATACAAGATGCATATAATGAATATTAAACTGGAAAATCATGTAGATATTTAAATTACTACTCTCTTCTGTGGCAAACAAAAAGTGGGAAACAAAATTATGAAGAGCAAAGATTAGTCCTCTAGATGAAGGGGAGAATGGCATACTAGGCGGAGAAAAGTTTCCATATGAAGCGATAGAACCCTGAGATTGCTACCTGCAATTGCAGTCAAACATAAAATCAGGCGTTGACCAAATTCTCATGCACCCTGTTGGCATCCTGAAAAATCCTCACATATGAATGTTTTGTTGAAGTTTGAAGTAATAATCAAATTATAAAGAAAATGTTTGCCGAGCCAACAAGTTTGTAGAATCTTATAACCATAGGACATTTGGCTTTAGAGATGTTCAGACATCAGGCAGTTATTAAAAATGAATATATCGGAGAGATGAGTGGCTGACCTAGATCAATAAAATGTTTTCTACTATAGGTTGCCAAATATCTCTTGCCATCATGCAGACATGGCCTTTCATTTCAGACGGTTAAAAAATCCCTGCAGACTAGTAATTATCTTTTTTAAGTGAAATTACTTAATTACTTTTTTCATCTCAGTTCTAAAAGTTTCTTGATATGCATGTTTTGTAAATTTTATAACTTATTGGATATCATAAGTTATATAACTTATCAAATTAAAAAATTACTTTTAGGTTATTTTGCAACTGACTCAGCTATGTAGTATCAGTCGGAGTTGGGGCTTGAGATTGATATGCCTCTAAACAAGTCGCTAAGATTTTAGCGCGTCTGCATAAAGTTCTTGTGATGTGGTTTGTGTTTTAACATAAAAGTTGGGAGAAATTGGGAGTTCTGACACTTGGAATGCTGTTTTTTGTTTTTTTTTGTTTTACCCTGAAACAGGTTAGGAAGATGATACTGCATGCAATGTGTCAACTTGTGAAGTATTTGGATTTATTCTCACATTCACAAGTGCTCACACCAGTCGATGTTGAAACTTTTGGCTTCTACGCTCTGTTTTCTTTATTTTTAAATTCTCTGCACAATATATAAAGGTTGTAAATGTCTATGCAAAATCAAGTAATTATGTCTCATGGACTTGGCTTCACATTTTCTTTATACCTTCTGCAAAATTTCAATGGACTTGTCTGTAGATGTGAAAGCTGACTTATCTTAGGTAGGTTTGGGATGTGAATGTGAAACACTTACCATGGCTAATGTTTAACAGCCAGAAGACTTTGAAGCTGGTTCTTCAGCTTGAATTTGTTCTCCACTTTTGCATTGACTGCATCATTGGGGGGACTCTGATCTGTAGACAAATATTTTCATCAATGAGTACAAAAAATTTACATTAATTCGGTACAATTATATGCTTATAGTTTTTGTATGTGCTGTGTGCACTTCAAATTTGCTGCCCTGATCGTATGCTGAAATATTTACTCATTGAAGGCATGCTCTGCCCATTACGTTGAAGCTTTGTTTTCTTTATTTTTGTAAGGTAATACAACAATGTTACTAACACCCCATACAATACTTTGGGGATATATGTTAAAGAAATTCATTACTTCTACAAAATGGAAGGAAATAAACGCTTTTTTTGAGTAATTTTGTCATGTTTATGATTTAAGTTCTTGGAATGTTCACTAATTACAAATAAAAAAAGTGAAATTAATATAGTTATATAACACGACATGATTTTTATATTTTGATTTTGAAAAAAAAAAAAAAACGACGTAAAATATGAAGAGAAGTGGAAAACTATGAGTGAAAGTTATATAAATCAGCATGAACAACAATCAAAATTAAATGTTAAAAATATAATAAGATTACAATTTAGTTTTAAAAATTATCGTGAATTAGTGATGCACGAATTGGATTAAAATTTAGGTTATATAAAATCAATAAAATAACTTATAAGTAGGATCGCATAATTAATTGGAATTGTTGGTTAAAAATATAATTAATAGAAAATTTTAAAAATTACTTTTTTTCTTAAACTTTGTGATGAAAAATTAATTTCGTGAAAAAGTAGATGTAAAAAATGGTTATTAAGAAGAAATAAATTTTTTATTAAAAATTTACTAAGTCGAATCTCTATGACAACTAGCAATAATATTAAATTTAATAAATAAGTGCATAATTTCGCTTATAATTTTTTAACAAAAATAATGATTAGTGAATATTTATCAATTAATTAATAGATAATATATGCATTTGATTCTCATAATTTGTATAACAAATCAAAATACAAATCTATTCTTTTAAATTTATTTTTGTAAACTTAATTAAAAAAAATATTAAAATAGATAATTTTTTTAAAAAAAACTAAAACAAAATAAAAAAAAATTATAAGAAAAGGAAAAAAAAATCAAATAAAAATGTCGCAGTAACACCTTTACTCAGGGATAGGAATGGATTGAATAGGAATAGGTTTATGTTCATCTCGATTTCAACCCAATATCGAATTATTATTGTTTATATTCAATCCTGTCTTGAAATATATATGTATAATTAGCATCTAACATTACTTTGACCAAAAATCAATTTAATAGTATAATATTCATGAAATATAATTTTTTAATATAAATAATATCTATAACATATAAATAATATAATTAAAATATTAAATCATAATAAAAATAAGATTTTATTTTTAAATTCTGTTGAAATTTAATAATATAATATTTAAGAAATATAATTTTTTAATATAAATAATATATGTAACATGTAAATAATATAATTAAAATATTAAATCATAATAAAAATAAGGTTTTAGTTTTAAATTTTGTTGAAAGTTATAAGAAATTATCTATTCCATAATTATAGAGTTATTATAAGATTCATAATCTTTATGAAATCTTTTATGGTTCTAAGGTTATTTTAAGCTAATAAATAAATGAACTTAAAATTAATGCTTTTGATGAGACTATCATTGAATTATTTTTTTTAATTTTATTTTTTTATGAAAAATAATCTTTTGATTTAAAATTATGTTACATATTTCACAATAAAAATATGGTTGAGAAATTATTTACTTTTTGAATGTATAACTAGCATATAAATTTCTGTTTATGACACATAATTCAATTATATCAATTAATTAGAGCATTATTTTTATTTTATATGAATGAAGAATATTGAATAAATAATCAATTAAAAGATAAAATATATTATCTAATTGAGTGAATAATCTATGAAAAATAAAAAATCTACAGATAACACCGATAAAAATATAAGAATATATGTGTTTTTATAGTTTTTGTAATTTATAAAAAAAAAAATATTATAGTTGAAAAAATATTACAGTTGATTTAAAAAAAAAATCCTACCTAACGGAATGAATAGTATTTTTAATGAAATAGTAACTTTTACCTAATGAAATGAATAGTAAGTTTAATGAAATAATACCTATCAATAAAAAAAACATGTTAGTTCCTATAACAATAATAGAATAATAAAAAGAAACTAAATTAATAGGAGGAAAAAATATGTTTAGTTTAGTGAGATATTTGAAAAGCTATATAACTGAAAACTATCAACAATGAGGGCTTTTCTAGAGTTGTTATGGTATTTATATATATTTTTTTCACATTTTCTTTGTAAAATATATTTAAAAGCTAAAGATAATACAATGATTATTTATTAAAAAAATTAAAGATATTAAATAATATTTTTAAAAGTTGTGATAATTTTAAATACTCATATTAACTATAAATAAATTGAAAAAGATAAATTACTTTAAAATTAATTTTAAATTGAGATAAAATGATATACAAAAAAATTTTGATGTAAGGAGAAATTTTTCTGAAGTTGTTTTAGTATTTATATATATATTTCACATTTATTTTGTAAAATATATTTAAAAGTTGAAGATAATATAAAAATTATTTATAAAAAATTTAAAAAATTAAATAATATTTTTAAAAAGTTTAATAAATTTAAATACTTATGTTAATTGCAGATATATTAGAAAATATAAATTACTTTAAAATTGATTTTAAATTAAGATGAGGTAATGTATAAAAAAATTGTCATAAAATTGTTATGGTATTTGTATATTTTTTTTACATTACTTTTTGAAATATATTTAAAAGCTGAAGATAATATAAGAATTATTTATAAAAAATATTAAAGATACTAAATAATATTTTTAAAAGTTGTAATAAATTTAAATACTAATATTAACTTCATATAAATTTTAAAAAATAAATTTCTTTAAAATTTAAATTGGTTTTTGATTAAAATTTAAAATTTTAGATAATTTAATCATTTTTAAAATATATTTTTTATAAATAATTTTAAATTAATAAATATCTTATATGTCATCATAATAAAAAATTTTGATAATTATTTTATGTGTCAAAAAAGAATTATTCATGTAACTGTTTAAGTTAATAATTATATATGTTGTAATATAATATATATATATATATATATAAAAAAATATTAGTGAAGCAAAAAATAGAGGTGTCTTTAGAACCAGTCAATTCTCCAATGCCCTCAACAAAATCACAAAATGACCATAATACCCAACTTAAACAGCCAAATACCGCAGATATAACCGTAATTCCATTATTCTTGTCTATATAAACCCTAATCTAGGGCTTTTTCCATCCCCACCCCGGAAACTCGCAAGAGAAGCAGCCGTTCTCCTTTTGGTCTCCTCGTAACTTTATCTTCTCTTAGCCAAGGTTCAGTCAGGTAGCTCTTCTTATGTTATAGTTTTTCGTCGTTTTTAGGTCAGATCAACGTTAGATCTTCTGTAGTTAAACTTTCTGTTTTCAAGTCTGCTCTTTTTTTTCTCTTTTAGTTACATTTAATGAAGGTGGTTTGGATTTTTATGAACAATTGTAGGGGTGTTTTGCTAGAATTATTTTCAATTTTGGTGAAATGGGTTTTCAAATTTATGATCAATAATCTTGTCTAAGGTGCCATTTTTGAGTTAATAGATGGTTTAGCTTAGGGCTAAAGATCTTAGATTAAGTGCTTTCCTTTTTTTAATCTTTAAAATCGATACAGTTTTCGAACTATGGGGGGTTAAAGCGATGTGGTTTGATTGTTTGCAGAATGGATTCCCAAATTAAGCATGCTGTGGTGGTGAAAGTTATGGGGAGGACAGGATCAAGAGGTCAGGTGACTCAAGTGAGAGTCAAATTTGTGGATGATCAGAACCGATACATTATGAGGAACGTGAAGGGACCGGTTAGGGAGGGAGATATTCTCACCTTGCTTGAGTCTGAGAGAGAAGCTAGGAGGCTTCGTTGATCGGTTTTATCTTTGCTTTGTTACATTGTTGATGTTATGTTGCATTAGCTAGTTATTATCTGCTGAGTTTTGTTACTTTTAAAAAGGTGTCCAGTTTGTCATACCAAGACTTGGATTTGGGAGAATGGTTTCCATGGATGAGTTGTTTTAAAGCTTCATTATGATGTTGAAATGAACTAAGTTGGTTTTGAGATTTGTGTCCCGTTAATATTTGTTTTTGACTATTTCTTAAGAAATGTTAGGGATATTTTCTTGATGCTTGGGATGTGCTTGGTTCTGTTTTTATTTTCAAACTGAGAAGCAAAGCCTTGCTAGTTGGACAATGGCTTTCTGCTTGATTCTATGATGTTAGGGGGTGGGTTCTGCAGGTGCCTGAATGGAATGCGAACTCTGGCCCTTGCTGATTATCAAAAACTAAAGGAACTAGCCAAGTTACTTTGTTGAAAAACCAATGGAAAAATTTTCTCAATTGTCAATAAATTTTTTTGTCAGCATTTCTAGTAGTTGATGCATGTTTCAAGTCTTGGGAAAGTTAAAACCTGAATATTTTGGACGAAGTTGGAAACTTTTGCTTCAAGATATTCTAATTTTGATAAAGATTTCCTTTCCCTCTTGAATCCTCCCAAATAATGTAAACTGTTTACCATTTTCAATCTGGATTAATATTTCTATGGTGGTTTTTCAGTAACATAGGAATTAATGGGAATATAGTTTTGGATTAACTGGGTTTTTTATTTTTTATTTTTTATTTTCAGAATAAAAAGGAAGAATTTACTTATTTATTTATTTACCATCACCTCTGGTCCCTTGGCATTCTTCATTGGGCACATCATTTTTGGTAAATTGGTTTTAAAGTGTTTTCTTTTCTTCGTTTTCTGTTATCTTTTTTATTCTCATTGAGAATATAAGAATAAATATGGTGATTGCCTAATTTTTAAGGTTGAGTAAACAGTATGTTTGATTAATTCGGTCGTAAAAATTAAATAATTAATTTAATTGACTTAATCTATTATAAAAATTGAATAGATTAATATATATAAGAAAAATTGAAAAAATCGAATTAAATTAAGGTGATTGGTTTTGGTTTCTTTTTTTGGGTTAGTTGATTTTAGCTTTTGTTTCCTACTTTAAGTGTATTTATATCATATTATTGGGTATAATTATATCATATATATTTAATTATTTATTTTATAATAAGTTAGATATTTTGGTTTGTTCAGTTTAGATATTTTAAAATTAAAAATTGATCGTTTTAATCATTTAAATCGAAATACTCATATAACTTGAATTATCTCGCCCGATTTCTCTTGAAAATTTGATTTTTTTTTTATTGTTTCGATTTTTACCAAATTTTGTTTAGCTCCACCAATTTTTGTGCTTTAAGAGCAAATTTAGCCATAACCAGGTTGAAGAGGTCTATGACAGGCCTTGGCGGCAAAATAAGGGGATGACTTGTGGTTAGGGGCAAAAGGCCAACCAAGATCCGATATAGCTGGTTTTAGGCTAAATCTATTTCGGTAAAGCGTTTGATGTCCGTGGCCCGATGTAGAGCATACAATGGGCTCGGATGGTCCCATTTAGTAGGTCGGAAAATGGTTATGTGCAACTTATTTATTAAAAATGAGGTCCACGTTTAGCATTATGGTTAATCAAAAGTAGGATAATAAGGGATCGGTCGGATTTTTTTAGATAAATTATAAAATTATAAATTATTAAAATTTAATTTAAATTTAAATTCAAATTTTATATAAATTGTTTTGATTTTAATTTAATTTTATTGATTTGATTTGGTTTATTAGTTTTTAAATTTTAAATTTTTATTATTTATATATTATTTTAATATATTAAATAGATTTACATAAATAATAATTATTTTTATTTAATAAAAATTTAAAATACATATAAAAATTAATAAAAATATATAATTCAGTTCAATTTAATATTTTTTATTTCTCACTTCTCTATATAAAATTTGATTTAAATTTAATATATATATATATTTAATCTCTGATTTTAATACGAAACAAGTAAAAACATCTATTCAAATCAAACATTATAATTTTAAATTTTTTTTAATTTTTTAATTTTTTTCTCACCTCTAATAAAAAAATATTGTTTTAGTTTAAAACTTCAAAGTCCAAAACTCCTAATGACATGCCCCTATTTGATATTCAAAAATATTATTAGTTGCACTTTCTTCAAAAAAAAAGTTGCACTATTTGAGATTAAAAAATATTAGTTGTTTTTGCAACGGGATTGATTTTTATTGAATAGATTTTAAAAAATTAATGATGCATGTCTTATAATATGTTCAATTTTTTTAAAATTTAAAAATATAAGTTGATAAAATTTTATATTTTATTATTTTTTACAAATTATTTTAAACTATGAATATTCCAAAGACAATATTGAAGTAAACAATAATAAATAAAGACGAACAGCAACAAAATAAGAAAAAAAATAATGCAAAAAAGATTTTATAATTTATTATTATGGGTCCCTTGAACATTGGGTTCACTATAATTACATAATAGATTAAAATTTACGGTAAAATAAACAAATTTAAGAATGAAAAAAAAAAATTATGTCTAAAAAATTTCTCTTTTTTTTTAGGTTGAAATTGGTCTTTGGGTCTTTAAAGGCTTCTAAAGCCAAGCCTGTCAAAGAATTATTGAGCCGTAAAAGATGATTTTGGCTTGGATCATAGCAACAATCCATTTTTTTGCCTAAAACCCAAGCAACGAAAAGCCCAAAAACAAACCGAAGCCACTTAAAGTCAGGATTTTTTTTTTTTTTGTTTCCTATATATATTTGTTAAACTAGGGTTTTTCCGTTTACTGATCCCCCTGCCTGTGAAAGACACTCGCTACGCTAGCAGCTCCCTCTAGCTCTTTCATTCTGTCTAATCACAGGTTTTTTTCTTTTTTTCTCTTTTACTTTCACTTCGACTCTCTTTTCTTCAAAATTTTTTAGTATTTTAACTCTGTTTTTGATTTCGTAGTTATGGCGACAGCCACGGGGATCACCGCACAGCAAGACCCAGCTCAACCTCAGTACGATGTCAAGCTCTTCAACCGCTGGACCTTCGACGATGTTCAGGTATTTCCTTTTTCCTTTGGCCTCACTGTTTATTTCTTCGTGAAGATCTGTTTTTATCAATGGGTTAAATTTATCTTTTGAACTTGTCAATCCTTGCCTATCTTCATACTCATTGATCGAAGATCAATGCCTGTTTTCTTTCGATATTGTTTGTCTCTGATTTGAGCTCACTTGTTTGTTGTCTTTGCTGTTAATGGTAATTAAGAGTGACAATTTATGTTCTCCTAGAAGTTTGCCTTTTGTTCTCTTGTCCTGTTGTAATTTTTTTCTTTTTTGTAATTGTTTCTTTTGTATGTTAGATTAATCAGATTAATCAGATAAGATGCATTGTGTTAGATTGTCTTTCCAAGTGTCTTAAGACTTTTGATTGGAAAGAATTTGGTTCCTCAACTTCCTGTTCACTTTGATAGTTACAATTCTTGTTTGCCATGATTCTTTACCTGAATGATTTATCTATTTTAGGTTGCTGATATCTCTTTGAGTGACTACATTGGTGTACAAGCTTCCAAGCATGCAACCTATGTGCCACACACTGCTGGGAGGTACTCAGTTAAACGTTTCAGAAAGGCTCAGTGCCCAATCGTTGAGAGGCTTACAAACTCACTGATGATGCATGGCCGGAACAATGGGAAGAAACTTATGGCAGTCAGGATTGTGAAGCATGCCATGGAAATTATTTTTCTCCTGACTGATCAGAACCCAATTCAAGTCATTGTTGATGCTATTATCAACAGGTAGCCTATATGACCTTAATTTCAGTATTCTCTTTCAAATGTATCACCAGCTAATGTTAACGTGTCAAGTAGCGAGATGTTAATTAATACATCTGTTGATTTTGGGGGTACCCTTATTCTATTGATCTTTAATAAGCTCTGTTGCTTTTTGATTGATGTAACAGTGGACCTCGTGAAGATGCTACTCGTATTGGTTCTGCTGGTGTTGTCAGGCGTCAGGCTGTTGATATTTCTCCTCTTCGTCGTGTGAATCAGGCCATCTATCTCCTGACCACTGGTGCCCGTGAGTCTGCATTCAGAAACATTAAAACCATAGCCGAATGTTTAGCTGATGAGCTTATTAATGCTGCAAAGGGATCATCTAACAGGTAAATCAGGGACTTATGTGTTTTTTCCTTGTTTTGCTTTGAAATTAGTAAATGCTCTCTTGTGTTTCTTTTATGCTATTCAATTAGTCATTACTGATCCCCTTTGGATCATTGCCGGTGCATTTCTGTTGATGTTGATGGTATTCTTGTTTGTGCAGCTATGCCATTAAGAAGAAGGACGAAATTGAGAGAGTTGCCAAGGCCAACCGTTGAGGAATTGAACGAGATTACACAATGGCAGTGGAGAATGTTGTTGTTTTAATCAGAGTACTTTATAAGTTTTCTTTTGTCTCCTGGACATGCTACGAATGTTTTGTTTTGTTTTACAAGTTGACAAGTTAGTTTCTGGTTAAAATGGAGTTTTTCAGTAGATACTATTAAAGAAAGCATTTTGCTTGTTGATTAATTGAGAAGCATTTTTCATTGAATTAAAAATTTGATTGACTTGGTTGATTAAATTGGAGTTGGGTCTTTAACGATGTTAAAACCCATTTTCATTTTGATTTAAAACATGTTTTGGTTGTTTTCCCATACTCAACATCATCAGCAACAAGAACTAGTTGAAGAAAAAAAGGCGATGATGACGGGTGAACTGGTCGAAGAAAAATAGGTGATGATGATGGGTGGTTCAAAACTTCAAATTCAATGAAGGAGTGGTTTTGTAGGTTTTCTCCCTTGGGAGATCAATCCATCGTCCCGGTTTTAGACCGGTGGGTTGAGGAAGGAAACCCCGTAGAGAAACACCATTTCCAATTGTACATGAAGCAACCCGGATCCTATAGACGTTATGCCCGGGCTCTTGAGGTATTTGGAGAGTAATTATCTCGCCCACTTAAAATATTTAGTGGCATTTGTTTAAAGGATATTCTTTTGAGATTAGGAAATTTTTTTATCTGATAGACGTTATGCCCAGGCTCTTTTTTACAGTTTTTCAAAGGCATGTGATGTTTTTTGGTTCTAACTTGCTTCTTTTTGCACTGCTTTTATGTTCTTCATAAACAGCATCTAGCGTAAAGTTTGAACTTTCTTATATATTTATGAACTGTGAAATTGACATGCTTTCAGCCTATGCACTTCTATTACTATTAATCGTCATTTATGCATTCAAGCTACTTATTGTTTGTTCCCAGATGTCTGTGTGGATGACTGATAAAAGGTACTTTCCAATGACGTCTCATGATCTTGCCGTCCGGTTGGATTTGATTGTGAAGGTTAGTGGGATAGAACACGCAGAAAATTATTTTAACAGTGTTAACAATTAAGAGTGCTTGAGGTTTACTGTGTACTTAACTGCTATGCGCATACAAGATCTGTTGAAAAGGCAAAGGCTGTAATTCTGAAAATGAGGGATTTTGGGATTTGATAGGTCAGCATTATCCTTTAATGTTTGACTTGGTCTTTATTATAAAACAGGCAACTACAGGAAAGTGGACACTTTGATGCACGAAAAGGGAGAAAGGGGTATTGCTTGCGAAACATATACCCACTGCATCTTTCTTAGTGCTTATGCAGCTCAATGCAATGTTGATGGAATCAACAAAGTTCTTCATATGGCGGAATCTGAATCGAATCTTGCTTTGTGATGGTCTTTTTATAAGTTGGGCATTTGGACAAGGCTTTAGCAACGTGAAGAAATCTGAGGAAGTGATTGTACGAAAAGGTATAGTGTATGATTACCTACTGACACAATACACAACACTAGGGAAGAAGGAAGACGTCCTAGGGCTTTGGGAACTTTACAAGACAAACATGAAGGTTTTCAATAAGGGTTACATAGCTATGATAACCTCTCTATTGAAGTTTGATGATATTGAAAGTGCCGAGAAAATTTTTAATGAATGGTAATCCCTGATTCCTCAGAACTTATGATATTCGTATTCCAAATTTCTTGCTTGGTGCTTATTCCAGGAAATGTCTTCTTGAGAAATTCGAAACCTTAATAAACTGGATTATATTAAAAGGCGGGAAGCCTAATTTTATGTCCTGGTATTATTTTGCAATGGCATTGCTTCGGGAGAATGAAATAAAAAAGGCAGTTGAAGCAATGAAGGAAGCCATATTGGTGGAAGCCTAGTGAGAAAAGTTTAGCTGCCTGTCTAAAGTACTTGAAAGGGGAAGGAGATATGGATGAAGCAAAGAAATTCATAAAATTGCTTGGAGATAGCGATATTATCTCGTCAAAGGTGGATGGACTTATTATGGTTGCAGGTGGTGCTTCACATGAAAGTGGATGAACACATCAGTTTTTCAGAGGTGGACGAGGATAATATTGATTGCAAACCAAGTAGAGGAAGCATGTTTGAAGTCAAGTTGGAAAGCTTTTGAACTTACCAAAGCAAATGTGATCTCCTAAAAACCCAGAATTAATAAGTTCGTTTGGTGAATTCTCCGGTTTATGGTTATTAGAGTACTTGTGTTTTTCCTGTTAGGAGTTAGGACCATGAAAAGAAAAACAACCACTTATATCACCAGTGGCAGTCAAGATGGGCAAAGGGAACGTGATAAAATTGGCTAAGTTAACCAGCCATGTCAGATGTGCATTCTTGTGGTATAATGTAAGGGCCTTGAAGGACAAATGTCTCTTTGCTGCAACAGCTGGGAAGGATCTACGCATAGTGATACTCAGATTCAGGAGACTACAGAATCCTAGCTGATTTAAACAGTTAAGAAGTAAGAAAATATGAAGCAAGCCGATAGAGTCTATAAATGCTTTCAGAATTTAGGTCCCATGTTATATGGAAACGGAAGTGTTTAGGCTGAAGTCTTTAACTTCCAAGTAAAAAATTCTATCAATCACGTGAGGGGTTAGTTTCTCTCATTGTTTTAGCTTGTCTGATCTCATCTAGCATTCTCTCATTGTATTTGTTTGTCTGATCTTGTCTAGCATTTTGTACCATCTTTATTACTCCTCATATTATTTCTTGACAGTTGTGAGCATCACAAGCCAAAGAGGCAAAGCTGCGTTGGCCATTTCATCCGCAGTCAACCCTCCTCGCTCGTTCATAAAAAGTTTTATTTAGGTTAAAATATTAAAAAGTATTTGTGAATTTTTAAATATTTTAAATAAATTTTTATCTTTTTATTATATTTAATTAAACGTTTAAAATTATCTTTTGTTTTGTGACTTAGTGATCATAAATATCTTTAGGAATATATAAAAGATTGGTTTCGATCAAACTTTTTTCCTCTCTCTTATAATAGGATTTTACCCTCTTAAAACAAAAACAAAAAAATTTAATATTATTTTATTTAATTGAATCTTTAAACTATTTTTTCGTTTGTATAGCCCGTAAAATTTATTTTAATTAATTAAATCTTTATTTGTTCAACTAATTTTAGTAATTTTCTTATAAAATAAATTTTTGATTAATTAAAAATAATACTATAAAGATTTAATTGAGTATAATAAAAAGAAATGGATTTATTTAAAAATTTTAAGAAAGTATATAGTAGGTTTTTTTTTTTTTTTTTAATATTTAAGCCTTTTAATTACCGCTTTCATTGGTGTTTATGTTGATTGTTGAACTAATAGGGCATCAACTTCGTTCTATCAATATTCAGTTAACAATTTGGAACGTTAATACTACAAAATTAAAATAGAAGTACTACTAGTATTCAATTAATTTATTGACATTTTAGTTTATTTTTTTCTTGTTTAAATTAACCTCAAATAAATTAATCATTAACTTAAACAGGAAACCCTAACACTTGCAGGATAAGAAAACAAAGAAAGAACCGGTATATCCTATTCCAAGATAGACTTTCTAAACAGATCCTCACTAAAAGAAACCCGCTCCGCGTCCGCTCGGAATAGCTCCATTTTTTTTTTCACTGCCCCAACGCAACCAAAGGTCCAAAGCCGCCGCTGAAAAAATGGAAGAAGAGCTCCGAACTGGTAAAAACGACACCGTTAACGACACTGACGACGATGACCCACCAGTCCTGAGCTCTCGTGCACTAGCAGCTCTCAAAGAGTTCCTCGAAGAACAAAGCCAATCTCTTGCTAACCATGAAAGTCTAGAAACCGGAGGAGGTGGAGGCGGAACTGGAGCGGAGAGTGATGTGGCGTTAGTAACAGAAGATTGGAGGCTGAGCCAATTCTGGTACGATCCAGAAACAGCCAGGACCGTTGCCCAAGAAGTTCTTTCTCTTTGCAGCGACTCCAATTATAAAGTAGCTTGTATTGCGTGCCCAACCCTCTATGCCTATCTTAAGGTAATTTTATCAAATACTTTGTCTATCTTTTAAAAAGTTTTTCACTTGGAGTTTTGGTAAGAATGATTAGCAAAGAATAAAATAGTTGTCTTTTGAGGAGTCAAAGAAAGGATAAGGAATCATGGACATTGTTGTTTTGAATAATTTAATTAGTAAACTTGATTCCTTATTTAGATATAGTGCCTCATTAAGGATGAATGAAAAGATTTAGCGGCCAGGGTTTGTGTTGATGCCATAATTCGCTATGGAGATCCCACCGGTTAGCTCCACTCTAGAGCCACAAGATAATAGCCAGTTAGGGTGGTTGGACTTGGTTCCTGGGAGAACCTTAGATGATTAAGTCGTTTTGTGTGCCAGAGAAAGTGTAACAAATAACCTAAGACGTAGAAGTGTTGGGAATATACCTTATAATGTGATGGTAGAGTGGACAACTGAAATACCCTTACACACAATGGAGAATATGTGCTCTAAGGGTCTAGGACATTTGGTTAAATCCAAATGACTCGTTTTATTTTACATATAACAATTTGGATGAGAGGACTTAGCTTGGCCTGTGAATGTTATTATCTGATTTTCTATAAAGGGTTGACTAAGGCAAATAGACTCTGATTGACGCAAGGAAGAAATTTGGTTGATAAATCTTGTTTCATTTGCATGACGCTAATGGTGCTTTGTGGTTCATTACTTTTTGCTTTTGTATGATTTTCAGAAAATTGATCCTAATATCTCTGTGCAACTTTTGGAGTATGATGAGCGTTTTGAGCAATATGGAAGTGATTTTACATTTTATGACTACAACCAACCTGAAGACGTGCCATTGGAACTAAAGCATACTTACCAAGTTGTAGTTGCTGATCCTCCTTACCTGGTAAGATAATACATAATTTTTGTCAATCTCTCTTAATTTACTTACTGTTAGTATAAGCATCCACTTCAACTACTATAAAGGGTTCATTCCTTTTGCTGGTGTCAGTTGAGGAGACAAGTTTATTTTCATTACCCTTAATTGTGCGAGTCTTGTCCTATGAGCAAAACCTTTCTGATTACAACCAATCTTGTGGTAACTGTTAAGGATAGAATCTATTCCACTTGTCTATTTAACTCTAAAGTATTCTTATGTTTTTTAACTAGTATTTACATACCAATATCTTGAATATGTTATTTCTTTTAATTGATTACAGGTTGTTGAATATGAGAATGCGCTTGCTTCAGTGCTTGTTTATTTTGTGGTTACTAATATGTTCTTTTCTTTGTGAGGAAAACCAAATCAAAAACTTTGAATCAGTTTATACCAGTGTCTTTTCTACCACTTTACCTTGATGTAAAATTACTCTAATGCTTCGGAGTCAGGGAAATCTGTAATCATACCAATCTGCTTTACAGAGCTATGCTACATATGGTATTGTAGAATGTAAAGGTTTAGACACATTTCTTTCACAAGATGGTAAACCACTATATTGGTTTAAGTATAATATTGAACATTTAGGCAGGGTTAGAGCAGCGATTTCTACTTTTCTCATTATCTCTTCTGAGCAGATATTTATATGGAGGCATCTGTTTCTTTTAGGTTTTTAACCATGCCATAAGTATACTGCTTTTCACTTGAGTTCATATTTGGAGAAAATTTTGACAGTATAACACATATGATGTCTATGGTTGCAGAGTAAGGAGTGTTTGGAGAAAGTTGCTCAAACAATATCTTTTCTTGCACGGCCACAACAGTCTTACTTGCTTTTGCTTACAGGTTAAAACTTTTTTTGCTTCCTCTCCAGCTCAGCGTAGCTTGTGATAGAGGCTATCAGTTAATCTTTACTACATTACATCTGAGACTTTAATGTAGGACAGAAAACATGGTGGATGTCAATTATTGTTTCATTGGCTTTTTATAGCAAGTCTAAGAGAATGTGCTTGATGGCTTGCAGGAGAGGTGCAGAGGGGTAGAGCTGCTGAGCTCTTGGGTTTGCATCCCTGCAATTTCCAGCCACGACACTCCACCAAACTTGGAAATGAGTTTCGGCTGTTCACAAACTATGACCCTGGAGAGCGATTAGGAGGGTGGGAGCTAGAAAAATAGGTGCCCTTTTCTCGCCACCATTTACATGGACCTTAGATTGGATTTTCTTCTGAAAAAGCTAGTGTTAAACCCAATATTAATGTAGTTCATACAACTTAATTTGTATTAATTATCAAGGCATTTGCCATGCTGTTTGCACTATGTAACGCATGAAAAGTTACCCGCTTTTCTCTTCATTTTTCCCTCTCAGAAAAAATGCAGATAAGCAATTTTTTTGCTCAAGTTCTGCTGTCAAAACCCTACACTGCCTTTCCTCCTCCCAAAATATTTTCCAAATCCTGGATTATGTATTCTGTCTGCTTTTTCATTTTGTCTCATGATTTAAACACCTGTTTTCCATCATCTCATATGCTGTCCTTGTTCTCCACAGATTAATGTTGAGCTCCTTGTTGCTGCAAGGAAATAGAGTGCTTATCCTGGTTGTCTTTGATACATGTAGCACATTTTTCAGCTTTCCCCTTTGGTTCTTTTAGGTTGCCCTTTTCTATCTTTTTCCTTTATTTTTCCCCTCCCAATAGCTAAATTCAGTCCTGTGGTTTGAACTTGTAAATTATTCTTGATGGAAAATTTTGTACCGAGATCTTATGTGTTTCATTTAACATTAAATTATGTCCTTTGTCTTTTTATAGTATGGTGTTTTTAGAAAAAAAATTTAATTAAAATTAAAAAAATTTTCCAATTACAGATCAGATGTAATTACTTTGAGATGTTTTGATTTAATCATAATTGTTTCTTAAAATTTTAAGCTTATAGGAAATGGTCCAACTATTATTTAAGTTTTAAAATATACTGCGTTTTATTTATATTTTTAATTTTTTTAATTACTGATAATGCGAAAGGGAAATTTTCAGAAATAAAGATAGTAATACTTAAATAAAGAAAAAATTGGAAATAAAAGGCAAAGACGTTTGTATTTTTGTAGAAGGACAAATAACAACGAGGGGAAAACCGATGGATCCGTAATCATGAACAAACATCCAAACGCGTCCTAAAATCGGTTCGTTGGGACTTGGGAATTACTATTCCGGATTCTGATCAACCCAAGATCCGAACCCGCATACAAAAAAGACGACTCGATCTCGAAATTTGACAGCGTCCGCCGCCAGTTGGTAGTTTCCAGAAGCAGTTTTTTGTTTGTTTTATTTTTTTCGAACAAAGTCATCAGCCTCACAAAGAGATAATTTTCAACTTGTTTTTTACTGAAAAAAACAATGAGACGACACGTTGTTTGAGAGGTAAGCTCGGATCCACATTTCTTCCATTTTCTTTGTTTCTTAGGGTTTTGTTTTCAAATTTTTTATAAACCTGCCTTTGATTTTCCCTCTTTTCCTCTGTTTGGTTGCTAAGAAAATGCCAGAAATAGAAAAGAATATGGAAAAGTTTAATGAATCTGAGAAAATTCTTGAAGCTCCATTGAATTCAGTTGAGTGCCGTTAGTTCTACAGTTCAGTTGAGCTCGCTGCTAATTTTTTCTGGCTATTTGTTTCGTTCCAAAAAAAAGATTTAATTTTAATGATAGTATATATAAGGCAAATGAAGTGGTTTTGAATAGGTGAATAATTAAGTTAAGCTGATATTTACAATTGTCTTCTTATTCTTTTTCTTATCCCTCGTTCTTTTAAAAGAACTAATGACCAAATAAGGATCTTCTGTGAATTAATTAGGTTTAAATTTACGCGGTTTCTCCAGAATGCTGGATTTGTGGACTGTATTTTTATTCTCTGTAATTACTAAGAAAGCGTGTAGTTTTAATTCGTTGTATGAGTTTTATGTAATTGAACTTTATTTTGGTTATGGTTTTGGTGTAAAGGCAGGACTGCAAACTAAAGCAGGGCAGTGGGGGGACGGTATTCCATTCCTAACATCAGCCGTGATTATTGTTTGTGTTGTTATTTACGTGATTTGCCTTTTGGTTGGATACAACTCTTTTGGCGAAATATTTTTCTTGCCAGAGGCTATTGTATCACATTTTCAAGGTATGTTCTTTTAATGTGATTCATTTTTGTGGTAGATAAATATATAGGATGTGTATTACATTTATGAGCTTCCTTGTTTATTGTGCCAAGAATATCTTTTGGTGTAATATTTACTTTCATTCTCCTGCTGTTGCATTTGCAACATCTTTGAGATTTAGTGTCATGCTAATTTAAAATTCAAGAATCAAGAATAAACACCTTGGAGCAATGTATTAGTTGGTCTTGATGAATTTTATGAGTCAACTAGAAAGTTGTGCTGGAGTACTGGCAGACTCCCTGAACCTACCCATTGCCCCATTTCATTACAGGCCATGATTTACAAGAATCTTGTCCTAGTCTTGCTAAAATCGGTGTTTGACACCTACATGATGGGTGTCATGAGCCAACCTTGTATAAGGCCATGACCGGGGCTTAGGTTGTCATGAGCCACCCATGTATAGGTTCATGATCGGGTAGAGGTGCCAAGGAGGGAGGGTAGATCTCTTGTGCTAGGAAAAATGTCCCCATTTCAAACAATGTAACGGTTAGTGATAGCATAGCTCTAAAATCTCTTAGGCTCTTTAGGGGGTGAGCAATCAGCATATTGTTGGGCTGTCTCACTGGTTAGGTTATGGACGTAGGCCACCCGTCAAGGGTTACCCCCTGGCCCCAACAATGGTGTGAAGTCTCGATGTACTATTCCCAATAATAATGAAATACGTCTTTTATTCGAAAGTCTCAAATGTTGCGTTGATGTGTTTTTCATTCTCTCGATATGAATGTGTCTTCTTGTGTATACTTGAGGTTAACCGTGGCTTATGGTTGCTTGTTCAGATATCGAGCTATCGTTGGTTGACTTGGGTGGGAGCGTCCATTCAAGTGCCGCACGGTCTATCGCTTGTTGAGAGAAAGCTTAGCTCGTGACACGTGGTATCAGAGCATAGTGTGAAGTGCTAGAGAATTGAAGAAATGGCCACGAATGGTGGTGTCAACCATCAACAGAGAATTGAGGAGCTTGAGGCTGCGGTGGCCGCTTTGAAAACTCATGTGGTTACGAACGATCGTCTGAGGGAGATCGAGGCAACCCAGCGGGAGTTGTCCGATACTCTACATAGCTTGAGTGAAGAGGTTAGAGATGCCTTGAATGTCCTCCAGAAAGAGTTTGAGGAGCTCAGGGCCCAAGTGGGCGTCTTACAGGTGGCGGTGGCTAGATCGAGTTCTAGCTCAGTGAAAAGGGGAAAAAGGGCCAAGGTGCCAAAGCCCCGATGCTATGAGGGGGCAAAAGATGCCAAAGAGCTTGAGAATTTCCTGTTTGACATGGAGCAATACTTTCGAGCTGTGTGTATTGAATCAGAGGAAGACAAGGTGGTAATGGCATCAATGTACCTTGCGGGGAATGCCAAGCTTTGGTGGCGTTCAAAATTTGTAAATGACGAATGCCCTATCAAAACTTGGGTGGACTTAAAGCAGGAATTGAAAAACCAGTTCTTCCCTGAGAACGTAGAGTATATGGCCCGAATGAAGCTTCGAGAGTTGGTGCAAACGGGAACAGTGCGGGAGTTTGTAAGGAGCTTTTCTACCATAATGTTGGACATTAGAGACATGTCTGAAAAAGACAAAATGTTCTATTTTCTTGAGGGCCTCAAACCGTGGGTCAGAACAGAACTACTTAGGCAAAAGGTGCAAGATGTGGTCACGGCCATGGCTGTAGCTGAACGCCTTCATGACTACAATGATGGCTCTTCAAAACGGAAAAATCCTCCATTAGGTGGCAGTAACTCCATCTTTGGGAGTGGTGGAAAGATGGCCAGAGTGGACCGACCTTTCAGTGGGGGATCAGATAAGAGGCTCTTTGGTCAAGACAACACCCAACCCAGAGCAAACAACGCAACAAGTTTTAGGCCTAGCCAACCGTTAGCTTGTTTCCTATGTAAGGGGCCACATCGAGTGGCTGAGTGCCCGCATAGAGGGGCCCTTAATGCCTTGAGAGCCTCGTCCCAAGATTCCGCAAAAACGCCCGAGACAGTCAAAGAAATTGAAGAGGAATCGGCCGGGATGGGCTCCATGCGGTTCCTAAATGCCCTCCGTACCCAGCTTAACACGATAAAGAGAGAACCGAATAGAGGCTTGATGTATGTGGACTTGGTACTCAATGAGAAGACCACAAGGGCTATGGTTGATACGGGTGCAACTGATACTTTCATCACACCCAAGGAAGCAAAAAGGTGTGGTCTCAAGGTGAACAAGGACTACGGGCAAATGAAAGCGGTCAACTCACCAGCCTTCGCAATCAGTGGAAGCTCTAAAAATGTGATGACCAAGTTGGGGCCATGGGAAGGAAAGGTAGACATCACAGTTTCCCCCATGGATGACTTTGATGTTGTCATCGGATTGGACTTCATGATGTTGGCTCAGGCGATACCAATCCCCGCCGCTAGTTGTCTATTGTTCTTAGGGGAGCAACCCTGTGTGGTGCCAGCCACAATCTTGCCGAAAAATGGAAAGAAGATGATCTCAGCACTACAATTCAAGAAAGGGTGTGAAAATGTGTAAAAACTAAGAAATAAATCAGTGTGAAAACTGAATGTATATTGAAAAATTGTTTATTGAGAATTATATAAGAATCTTAGGTTTATATACAAGTAACTAAGGGTTAAATTAGGAAACTAAATCTTCCTAAAAAACTAATCCTATAATTGAGGGATTGTCTATCTTAATTTTAGAGATACAAATACTTAATTCTAGAGATACAAATATAAATATACAGATTACAACCAGTTGTAAATAAGTGTTTTCCCACAAAGGGATAAAGAGAGAGGAGCCTTTTTATGTGGCGATGCCGATCTACAAGGATGGGATGGAGTTAGATCCAATACCCGAGGGGGTGAAAAGGGTGTTGGGAAAGTTTAAGAATGTGATGCCAGAACAATTGCCTAAGGTCTTACCTCTTCGAAGACCGATTGACCATGAAATTGAACTTCTCCTAGGGGTCAAACCCCCTGCTAAGGCCCCATACCGCATGGCTCCACCAGAATTGGCCGAACTAAGGAAACAATTGGATGAACTCTTACAGGTCGGGTTCATTAGGCCGTCAAAAGCACCCATGCTATTTCAGAGGAAGCATGATGGAAGCCTACGACTATGTGTCGACTACAGAGCCCTAAATAAGGTCACTGTGAGAAACAAATACCCGATTCCCCTTATTGCTGATTTGTTTGATCAACTGAGTCGGGCCAAATACTTTTCCAAATTGGGCCTGAGGTCTGGCTATCATCAAGTCAGAATTGCGGAAGGAGATGAACCGAAAATCATCTGTGTAACCCGGTATGGCGCATTTGAATTTCTTGTTATGCCTTTTGGACTAATCAATGCTCCTGCCACATTTTGTACCTTGATGAATCAGGTGTTCCACGATTACCTTGACAAATTCGTGGTGATTTATTTGGATGACATAGTGGTATACAGAAGAACATCAAGAACACTTGCGCCTAGTGCTTCAAAGATTACAAGACCACCAGTTGTATGTGAAAAGAGAGAAATGTGCCTTTGCTCAGACCCAAATCTATTTTTTAGGTCACATTGTCAAACAAGGTCATATTCGAATGGATATGGAAAATGTTAGAGCCATCAAGGAGTGGACAACACCCAAGAATGTTAGTGAGCTTCGCTCGTTTTTGGGATTGGCCAACTATTACAGAAGATTTGTAGAAGGATACTCCCATAAAACTACGGCCTTTACAGAACTATTGAAAAAAGAGCATAAATGGTGTTGGACAAGCGAATGTCAAGAGGCATTTGAAGGACTGAAGGAAGCCATTGTGAAAGATCCCATCTTGGCCTTCCCCAACATCGAACAACCCTTCGAAGTCCAAACAGATGCTTCTGAGTTTGCTATTGGGGGAGTACTCCTACAAGCACGGCACCCAATAGCATTTGAAAGTAGAAAGCTAAGTGAAGCTGAGAGGAAATATACGGTCCAAGAGAAAGAACTCCTAGCAGTAATTCACTGTTTGAGAACTTGGCGACATTATGTGTTGGGCTCGCACTTTGTAGTGAAGACAGACACTGCGGCATTTAGTCACTTTCTCACTCAATCAAGGCTCACAGCGAAGCAAGCTCGATGGTAAGAATTTTTAGCTGAGTTTGACTTTGGTTTTGAGGACACCGCTGGAAAGACCAATCAAGTGGTTGATGCATTGAGTAGACGAGCAAAGTTAGCAGCTCTTAAAAGAATTGCCCCAATGGCGGCTAGTAGAGTTGCAACGGACGTTCACAAGTTAATTGAAGATAATTTGGGAAAGGACCCGCAAGCCAGTGCCATCTTGAAGCTAGTTGAAGAAGGGAAGTCCAAGTATTTCTGGCGGGAGAATTGGGTCTTGTGGACAAAGGGTCCTCGATTGTTTGTGCCAAAGGTAGGGGGTCTGAGACAGATGCTGATGAGGGAGTGTCATGATAGCCCATGGGCTGCACACTCAGGTTGGCAACGCACTTTTGCTCTATTAAAACAGGGATACTATTGGCCTCACATGCGGCAAGAGGTGATGGACTATACAAAGACTTGCCTTCTCTGCCAACAAGACAAAGTTGAAACGAAAGAAACTTGCAGGCATGCTTGAACCACTATCGGTGCCTACTAGACCGTGGGAAAGCATCTCTCTTGACTTCATTTCAGGCCTTCCCAAAGTTGTCGATCTTGGAGCTATTTTGGTGGTGATCAATAGTTTCTCCAAGTATGCCACATTCATTCCCACCCACAAGTATTGTACTGCGGAGGACACAGCTCAACTTCTGTTCAAACATGTGATCAAATATTGGGGCCTCCCTCAGAACATTGTAAGCAACAGGGATCCAAGATTTACGGGGTCTTTTTGGAGAGAACTTTTCAAGATATTAGGGTCCCAACTCAACATCTCTTCAAGCTAACACCCCCAAACCGACGGTCAAACTGAACGGTTCAATGGATTACTAGAGGAATACTTGAGGCATTTTGTTCAAGCCAATCAAAAGGACTGGCCTTCGTTATTGGACGTCGCTCAGCTTTGTTTTAATTCTAACAAGAGCTCTTCCACCAACAAGAGCCCATTTGAGGTGGTCACTGGACAACTGCCAAGGCTACCCCATACATCTTTGGGGCAATATGGAGGGAAGAACCCGAGAGCCTTCAACCTCGGCAAAGAGTGAAAGCAAAACACAGAGATTGCACAAGCCTACCTGGAGAAGGCGTCAAAGCGAATGAAGAAATGGGCAGACAAAGGTCGCATGGGTGCAACAATTCCAAGTTGGTGATTTGGTTCTTGCTCGACTAGTCCCTAAACAAACTTGGTTCTTGAGGAAGCGAGATCGGAGATTGGTGCGCAAATATGAGGGTCCAGTGAAGATCCTCTCCAAGGTGGGGAATACTTCTTACAAAATCGACCCACCAAAGTGGATGAAGGTGCACCCAGTATTTCATGTGAGCAACCTAAAACCTTTCCATGCAGATTCTATAGATGCTAGCCGAAGAGAGCCAACCAGAGCCGTCATCACCATGAAGCCACCCTCAAAACGTCGAGTTGAAGAGATCTTAGTTGACAGGAAACCAAGATATCTCAAAGACTAGTTCGTGAATACTTAGTGAAGTGGGAGAGATTAGGACCAGAGGAAACTAGTTGGGAAAGAGACCACGACCTCCGGGCATTCAAAAGGAAAATTGAAGAATTCCAAGCCAGCAAGTCGACGAGGACGTCGATAGATTAGGTGGGGAGGATGTCATGAGCCAACCTTGTATAGGGCCATGAATGGGGCTTAGGTTGTTATGAGCCACCCATGTATAGGGCCATGATCGGGTAAAGGTGCCAAGGAGAGATGGTAGATTTCTTGTGCTAGGAAAAATGTCCCCATTTCAAACATTGTAACCGTTAGTGGCGGGGTGAGCAGTCAGCATATTGTTAGGTTGTCTCACTGGTTAGGGTACGGACGTAGGCCACCCGTCAAGGGCTGCCCCCCTAGCCCCGACGATGGTGTGAAGTCTCGATGTACTATTCCCGATAATAATGAAATATGTCTTTTATTTGAAAGTCTCAAGTGTTGCCTTGATGTGTTTTTCATTCTCTCAATATGAATGTGTCTTCTTGTTTATGCTTGAGCCGTGGCTTATGGTTGCTTGTTCAGATATTGAGCTATCATTGGTTGACTTGGGTGGGAGCATCCATTCAAGTGCCACACGGTCTATCGCTTGGTGAGAGAAAGCTTAGCCCGTGATAATGGGCCTGAGAGAACAAGTGTTAATAAACATTTTTTCAGCAGGCTTGTCTAGGCTGCATCTTTGTCTGTAGAAAGGCCTTACATTCCAGAATACATGGATGCTCCCTTTGGTCTTTTCTAATTGTATTTATATTTGATTTATGTTCCCAATGAAAGATAATCATGACAGCAAGTCATTGACTAACTAAAAAAAAAAAAGAATATGTCTCATTTTTTTTCTTTGATGGTGCTATATTTGATGTTTATACTCTCGTTTCTGAAAGTGATCATTCTTAGTTTATTCTTTCTTGTTGCAGTTTACAGGATTTACACTTCCATTATTTTCCATAGTTCGCTGTTACATGTTTTTTTCTTCAACATGTTGGCTTAGGTTCCTTTGGGCTCTGAACTAGAGAGAATCATGGGATCTATTTGATTGTTATACATGATTATTTTGCTAGCAACAAGCAATGCTATAATTCATCTCATTATTGCATTGGTGGTAGCCCATAATCCTTTCCACCCATATCAGTATCTCATGAACGAGTGTGCAATAGGCTTCTCTGGAATCTTATTTTCTATGATTTTCATAGAGACAAGTCTGAGTGGAGCTCAATCTAAGAGGTTAGTTTCTCTACAAGTACTGTGGAATAATATTTCCTGACAAGTTTTGTTATTCTTCACTTATGCAATTTTTCATTTTTAAAATTTTTTGTTGGCCAATTATGTTGACTTTTCTGCCTACTCTTGAGACATGTTAGTGTACATGCAAGTATGACTACCTATGTCTTGATGCACATGCATGAGTAATAGTTTGTTCCTGCATACAGAGACTCTTGCTGCATTTACATGCAATGCTTGATCCACTGTGTGCATGATGTATATGAATGTCAAATAGTTGTCCCTTGCATCTTAAGAATGTGGTGCTAAGATTTCTTTTGTTTTGGTTCTATACAATGGTTCATTGACTGACTCATGACTTTCTTTTCTTTGCAGTGTGTTTGGCCTTTTTAATGTTCCTGCAAAATGGTAAATGCAGTCACTTGCTTTTGTAGTGTTTGTTATCTCCCATTTTCCTTTCAAGTTCTGTGCTATATATATTATGGAATATTTGTTTCAGGTATGCATTTATCTTATTGGTAGTATTCCAGCTGCTTATGACAAATGTCTCATTACTTGGACGCCTCTGTGGCATTTTGTCTAGCTTTGCATGTATGTCTCCTCATTTATTTTTGAAAATTTACCTTTCCATTATTGTGCTTTCTGCAAATTATGTGATAAATTTGGTTGAAGCTTGACAATTATTTCCTGCTCTCAAACTTTTTCAGATACCTATGGCGTATTCAACTTCCTTTTTCCTGGACCATCTTTTTGCTCTGCCATTGAATCCTCATATTGGCTTGTAAGTATTTTCATGGAACTGGCTGGTGATAACAATTGATTTTCCTTTACCATGTCTCTTAAATTGCTTCTCTGCATTTAGCTTTTTTCTCAGATTAGGATCTCATTAATCCTATTTATATCAAATGATATGCTTTTCAACTCAATGTTGAACTGATATTATCTTGCTAATGGTCAATGGTGATATCCTTATACTAAGTTATCAATTGCTTTGTATTGTTAACCTCAACAGGTTCATATGTTGCCATAGTCATTGGTCAAGGTTGAACACTTTGTCAAAGTGAACTTTGCATGTTTCTCCCACTTAGGATTATTGATGTTTTATTACGACCTTAAAACTTTTAATCCTTTGCAAGTCACTTTGTGGCACACAGCCATACACATGCACAAAAACTACTGTTAGGAACTTGCTAGTTTTGTTTTGTGTATTTAGTCATCTTTATATAAGAAGAAATCATTCTAATTTAGTTAATCCAGTATTAGATATGGTAAAGTTCATACTATTGGCAAGAGGTATATAATGGAGCTGGTGTACTATGTGAGCATGCATTTATGCCTGTATGCACGTGCAATCTCTGTCAAAGAAGCATTATAGTGGAACTGTTGGAGTTAGTTACTCAAATCCTTTTCACCATCTGAGTTGTTGGTCAAATGCCATGAACCACTGTATATTCTACCACTATCTTTCCTGGTCCCTATTAAATTATTCAAAGCCATAATAAAAATTATTTTCTAGTATGTTACGTTACCAAGATAATATGGGCTTTCTTCTCTCAGTTCCTTTTTTTTTCAGATAAGTTTTCATTTGTTTTTCATTCTTACAATCAGAAACTGGGAAAATTTTCAGATGAGTTACTGGTAAGGAATTATGAAATGTTAATTATTTTTCCTTGCTAAACGATAGTCTGCAACACCACTTAGATAGTTACATAAACATGATGATTGGAATATTTGCATCTTTGTTTCGAAAGTGATTTTATGATTAATATAATCTAAGGCTGTGCAAATCCTCTTCAGGCCAGCTGTGTGAGGCGACCTAAATTTATTATGTGCAGTGGTGGAAATTCTTCAGCCTGCATCCCCACTTTCTCCAGTCAAAATTCACCCCCCACATATATTTTCTTAACTTTGATCAAATCTGGCTTTCCTTCCCTCTTAGTAGATCGTTATCTGATCATTTTTGTTAATCAGTGGACTAGTTTCTGGAAACATTTGGAGAAACTTGTCTTCCCGGATGCCACAGAGGGAGACAGCTGCTCAGGTTTTGTGTCAATCCCCTTTGGATTATTTTTGATATTGTTCTTTTTCTTGGCCAAGAACTTTGTGCTCTATATCATATTTTCATGCAGTAGCTGCTCTTAAGTTTTAACCCATGCAGTGCCAGTCTTTCGTGATGTATCTGACAGCTTTGGAATTTTGATGAAAAGAATCTCCCTATTTCTCTATCATGTGGCTGAAACCCATGAATTTGTTGGAGTGAATGTCTTTAAGCATTTATGGTGAAATCATTTCCTATTGGAAGACAACTTTGAAGAAATGAAGCAATGATCTTGTGTTACCAATTTAGTTTTGTGCTTTTATCTGACTGTGCCTCCCTTGAGCCCTATAGTTTCAAAAGCCTGGTCAAAGATAAATTAATGTGATCATTCTCAATAACATGCAGTCAACACAAGATTATCCCAGATTTCCTGGGAGAGGCAGAACTCTTGGTTCTGGTCAAAATACTTCTAGACTTTTGGATAATAGTAGCCTCAATAATCCATCAGATATTGCAGCAGCTGGTGCAGCGGAGAGGCTTTCAAATGAAAGGTATCAGGAAGTGTTTTTCATTTCAATTACTGTTCTTAATTTGGCTTAGTGATAGTGTCTTTTCTTTTTCCTCTTTAGTTTGAAAGTTTTTCAATATCAATCTGGCTTCTGTCACACACTTCTGGTTTAGAAATCTTAGCATCCATTCCAGGAACTTGATAAGGTGACAGTGATTTCTTTAGTCATAAGATCTTACTTTAGTCATCCCCAAGCCCACATCCCACCACTAGTGGCCTTACCTAAGAAGCTGCTGATGGAATATTCTTTGCTGTTTATTGTGGCATTGGACCTTCTTTAGTTTGTATAAATTTATTTTTAGTATTTGCTAAATCCTAATGTAACTCCATTGAGTTTTGAAAGGGTAACCTCCCTTTCATTTTGCATGTTATATAATTGTATTATAAGATGTTTGTTTTATCTGACTTTTATGCATCCCTTATATTTTGTATGTTTATAGTTGTATAATGTGATGTTTGTTCATGGCTTTCATGGTTGCCTACAGAATTTGTGCAGCATATCCATAGATTAGTTTTTCGTGGAACATAGTTTAGTAATTCAGTAATTATGTGATGGCTACGTACACTATGACACTTGCATATCAGAAATTAAGCTGGTGGTTGGAAGTATAAGTTAATGCATATTGACTCACTCGCAAAATATCACCTTCGTACCTGTGCATACACTGTTGCACATAAACATTTCTGTTTTAACATGGAGAGTGATGAAAATGCCTTGGGATTGTTTCAGACACAATTAGAAGTTGCAGTAGCAGCTGCTGATGGAGATCTTAACGTGGCTGTAGAAATTCTTATGAGCCAGCAGTTACGTGCGTGAGAGTTGTGACTCTTCAAGTGATTGGTCTTTTCTTGTTCTTATCTTGTGGATTATGGTGATTTTGCTCCAGGGCTGACCTGCAAAGATGTAATCTCTATTCACTTTTAAAGAAGCATCCCTCAGGGTCGATTAAAGCTGCTTAATTCCTGTGCCGTAATGTATCATGTTGTATATTTGGTCTTGTGGGTACTGTAAAGCACTTCTGACACAATCCAACAAAGCAAAGAAAGAAATATTATGAACAGGAGCAATTATACTAACTTTTATTTGTGCAATACATGACCTTGTCACCTTACTGAAATCATTGCCTTTGTCTTTAGAATTTTGTCAGATTTATACATTTTCTTTATTCTCTTCTCGCAGCAGGCTGATATGTTTGACACTTATGCATAACTAAGCAAAGCTTTCTTTTGACATACTAAATACAATACATCCCTATGGTAGGATCTTTCTAGTAAATTGTTTCTGGGACAACCATGAAAAAGCAATCCAACTTGCATTCAGTAAGGACTGTAGCGAATCATCCAACACCCTATCTAATGGACAATTTAAACGGAAAAGATGCTGCAGATACATTTCAGGGACCTTTATGCTACAAAATTCCCAGTCCTAATTCTACTTGTGTTACTCATTATGTTTGGGCTTCAAATTTTAGTTTTCAATGTATGTTGGTCTTTGCCAGGTGTAAACTTTGTCTGCAATAAAAATTCAAGGTCTCTCAACACATATGGAAGATGAAAATTTTCTAACTTGATCTGATATAAATTGATAATCATGGTATAAGACATGGATCCCACTATTTTTGCTACAAAAAAATGAGGGATAATCTATTAAGAATGAACAAGAGCTGCCCTATGGTTTCATAATCAAGTCAAAGCATAAACTGATCAATCAAAAAGAAATGAAATATCTATCTGTTAAGGATTAAATTTTTAAGGTATGGAGTTTTCAATTAGGGAGTTTAAATGTCTTGTATGCTTGCAGTCGCATTCTGGTTGATCTTGGCCACATACCAGTCAGAATGTATTCCTTAGCCAATCTTGACTACCTTCCGCCTTCAGTCTTTCAAGGGTAATTGAACCTCAGCACCAAAATTTGAGATGGCACACTTTTAAACTTGGGAGTTCCATGATGCAGGGATAGATGACTACAGTAAAAGGCTTCCCCGTAGAAGGGGACATTATGACATTCTGCTTTGATTCTCCTTGGAGCAGGTTAATGAAATCTCAGTCATAATTCCATCTCAACTGATTTTATATTGATGGTTAGTCTTTCTTATATTTCACCCTTGGCGTCCTTGACATCATTTTGAGGACCACAATCTGGAGGAGCAGAACTAGACCCCAGTGATCTCATTTTGGCCTGAATTCTCCTAGCATGCTGCAAATGATCCATTGGGAACAATTCTTTTAATTATTTGATGTGCAGACAATGATGAAGAGTTTCTTTGTTTGCACGAGTGTTTCTTTACTCATGAACATGCAAACAAGGGGCAAACACACGGAGAGAGAAACTTAAGGTTCTTCAAACCAAACCTTCCTGGAAAGGGTGCAAGTTCGTGCAAAATGGCCTTCATCTCTGCACCTGTAGCATAAAGCATGGGATTTCGAGCCCCCCGCAACTTTGGGACACTTTGAGCATTCCTAGTAGAATAACCACCATAACATACAATAAATATATTTCTACACATGCATAAATTAAACTACAAACAATAAAAATATGACTTACAGATCCCAAATGGCCAGACTGGCCACAATTGTAGCAGGAAACTTCTGTTGGACCTGTATCTGGAAGTTTGACACAGCTGAGATGACCAAAATCATTGCAAATGTAACATCGAATTTTCTGTTCGCAACGGAAAAATTATTGTAATCAATCAGGCTGTGAGAATAACCTGCAATTTAATATTAGGCGTGGGGCTGATGAGGCATACCTCAATGACAAGGAAAAGGTCCTGGAACTTTTAAGTCCCAAGTTCAAGTCCTACATGTGTGGGTATCATTCAACTTTATGTTGGATTTTCTCCAATTATATGCTAATTCATTAGTTTGTTAATTGGTTTCTGTCATGGGAGATAATAGTAATATCATACATGTTAAGGATTTTCTATAGTGATTGTAAATTTCTACTTGTATATGTAATCTTATAAAATAAAATCAGGTCCGAGGAAATAAAAGCATTTGGCTCAAATGAAAGTGCATGTATCCTCCTTCTCAAAGAGCAGGATTCAAATCCCCCTTACCCCAATCAAAATGAAAACAAAAGATTAGTAAAAATATTCATAGAGGAAAAGCATATCAAATAATGAAGACCTTGAGATCATCAGGAGAATAGTCATTTCTACATGAAAACATATCATGTCCAGCATCCCCACATCTTAAACAAATAATAGAATTCTTTTCTTCTTGTTTCTCTGGACAATCATAGGCTTGGTGGCCTCTTCCTCTGCAGACAAAGCAATATTGGCCCTGCTCAAATATCAAGGTTGCATCTATTAAAAGTAAACTAAAGAAACCTTGACATCATGTACCAAGATCCAATAGGGAAAGGTCAGAGGGAAAAAAATAAAGAGAAAAGCTGTATGCTAATATACTAATGTAAAATATCAACAATGTTGTTTCAGTCGCCCAAGATCATCTATCTCTGAAAACAACAATTAGATTTTCAAGGATACTCTATCAACCGGAGATCTTATCAAAGAACACTTATTAAAGCATTTAAGTATTTAACTTTGTTATAGGTAGTACTCATGCTTACTTAGATGCCATTTTTTTTTTTTTTTTGCTCAAGTATAAGGTTTTATTTATCCAAAGAAGCAGCAACAGCTGCTAGAATCTCAACAATGCTGCTATAAAAGAGACTGATTAACAGGGTTACTTGCTATGTTCTTTAACCCAACCAAACGAGAACGAACTACGTTAGCAATTAAACAAAAAATAAAATGATCTTATCTGCTTAATCCAACATGAAGTCTGCAGTTCCTTTCCTGCCAGAGAAGTAAATGTAGGCATTCCAAGCCAGTCTTAAAATATCTTAGGTTTATATACAACTAACTAGTGGGTAAACTAAGAAACTAAATCTTCCTAAAACTGATCCTAAATTGAGGGATTGTCTATCCTAATTTTCAGTCCTTAATTCTAGGGATAAAAATACTTAATTTTAGAGATACAAATATAAATATATAGATTACAAGACTACAACCAGCTGTAAATAAGTGTTTTCCCACAAACAAAGATACAAACCTTTTCACAGATTGTCATGCTTAGATGCCAATTTGGTAACTAAGAATTTGAAAATTAAAATTGCACCCAGTTAATCACATCAAATAAATCTACCATTATAGAGCTGTAATGTCTATGCATTATCAATGATGGTAACGGACTAGACTGTATGAGAGATGGCATATTTAAAGTACAAAAAAATTATTCTAACACCACCTGCAATCAGTCAAAAGGCTCCAAAGGAAAGAACAAGTTGATAGACTATAGTGTTCAATTTAATTATGAGATGGACAATTTTAAGGTAAATATTACCAAAAGCATTACTCAGTGCTTCATTGTAAATCTGAGAAGGGGATCTTTAAGGTAAATACTACAAAACCTGTCCGCAATGCTTCCCAAAGTGCTGAAGACTCCCACAGAGGAAACATGCTTTCACTCGGTTTTGCAACGTCCAGTTTGCTGCCGCCTGATGATCTTTCCCACAACTGAGATAACTGGCCCAGCTGCCGTTTGGAGGATCAAAGTATCTTGGTTTCCGCTAGAAAAGTAATGCACGATCAAATAAGAACTTATCATGACAGAAAAAACATCTTTCAAAACACTTTCATGACACCAAACGTTTTAAAGCAGTATTTGAATACAGATCCCAAACTCACAAGAAGCTTCTGAAGCACAGTGTTCTCAGCTGAGTTTTCTGATAATTTTACAGTTTCTATACATTTAGGTTTCTCTGCATGCATTTCATTCTTTCCAGCACCAACCTAAAAGCACAGAAATCCCAAACATCATCTTGGTTAATAGAAAGCTCCACCTCTTTCATCTTTTCTATCCCTAAATAAAGATTTTCATGGTGAATAAGGTTTAAACAAAAAGAGAAAAGAGCTTGCAAATAGCAAAAATGTAATAACATCTGAAAATGAAAAACTTTTAATTGATATCCTTGATGATCAATTTGTTAAGCACAGATATATAAGAGACAACTATTTAGAATGTAGAGTATTGTAATATAAGACCCACCAATTTAAGGTTTAAAAGCTAATCCACTCACACTTTCTTCTGCTACTACAGCTTTTAGCTCCTTTCTCCTCACCATCTTACCATCCTCATTTATGGTAGGCTCTGCTGACACCATTTCTCCAGTTCTTTTTCTGGAGCTAACATTTGAGATCATGCCATCATCCTCAAAAGATGAGGAACAAAGATTAACGACCTCCTTAGAGCAAGCTTCATCACCATTGCCTTCAGTTCTACCTTTTACAGCTTGTACAGTTTCTATCTTCTTATTTTCCTTAACAGCAGCATCAACCTGAAGCCCACAAATTTACAAAAGTTTTAATTATAAACCAGATTGGTCCACAAAGGATAATTTAATGTGGGTTCAATGCTCTTTAATTCTACATTTCCAATCTAAGAAACATAAAAAAGAAAAAAAAAAAAAAGGAGCTGAACTAACAGCAAGCTTCTGTGGCACATCATTGGCAGATATTTCAATCAAGTCCCATTTCGATACTTCCACTGTTCTCACAGCTTCAGCCTGCTCTGTGTCAATTGCAGGCTTTCCATCGTCCACCCAAATTCATCATAGACATAAAAATGGAAGCCAAACAGTTCTTAGAAACACTCAAGGAAAATAAGGGGGAAAAAAATAAACAATACCTACAAATTCAACTAGAAACAAGACAAGCTAAAATCCTTTTACCTCCCATCATTTTTCTTTCTTTTCTCTCACTCTTTACCAAAAACCAAATTAAAAATCAATTCAAGAACAAGAGGCGCATATCTTTACGCCCAGAAAAAGAAAAAAGTGATAACAAAAAGAAAAGGAAGACAAACCCACTCACAGGAAATGGCTGCTGAGCATGAAACTGAAACTCATTGTTGTTCTTCTTTCTGTTTCTGTTTCTGTTCCTTCTTCTTTTCCTTCTTTTCACAGTAGCTTCTCCTTCCATCATAGCTCTCAAATTATCAAAGCCAGTCAGATTAGAAATCATTTGATACTCTTCAGCTTTGGATCTCCATTGACTACCTTCTCTTCTCTTTGCTGGTGCTGCTGCTCCTTCTCCACCTTCATTTCTTGTCATGGTTTTCTCCATGGGTTAGTTTTAATTAATTCTGCTATGTTCACTTTCTCTGGGTTTTTTCTCTTCTCGTCTCTCATCAAAGCTGTTTGATTCAGCCTTCTCATAAATCCATTTTTGTTTATCTTACCTATGCTTTTAACTTCCATATTGTCTCCAGCGGTATCTATCTATAGATTCGGCCCACTTCATGACAATTTTTCCATATACCCGTACTAAACCTAGGGGCAATTATAAATAAGGGTAATGAACATAGAACTTTTATTATTTGCCACCATGAAAAGAAGCATTTATTAAAAAAGAAATAAAAATTCTATATTGTGGGAGTGTGTAAATGTAACACGGTTTTTGCTTTTTACTTTTTTTTTATTTCAAAAGTTTTTATAAGTGAAATTATTTATATATATTATTTATAAATTTTTTTATATTCATATCTGATCAATTTTATAATTTTTTTGAAATTTATTGTCATTGAGAGAGCATGAAATTTTAAGAAAAATTATAAAAAAAAAATATTTTTTTAAAAATTATAAATTAATATAACAAAAAAATTTATTATTAAAAAAATTATAAAATTTAAAATTAATAAAAAAGTTAAATTTACTATTTTAATTTTTTAAAAAAATCTTACGATATTTTAATTAAATATTTTATTTTTTGATATTATGAAAAGTGATAAAAAATTATTAAATCTAATCAACATATAAACATTGAAATTTCTTAAAATAATATAAGTAATATTATTAAATATTATACAATTTTATATAAATCTAATATACTAACTAAAAAACTTATCGTGATAAGTAAATGGAGAGAATTCTCTAAAAAATTCAGTTTAGTTAGAGTTATTATGAAATTTTAATACAAAAATTATTTATTAAAAATGAAAAATTATAAATTTACAAAAAAAATATATTTACTATTTTATTTTTAATTTAATTAGGACTCTATAAATTTTTTTCTAAAATTAAAATAATAAAAATAATTTTTTTATTAATTTTGAAATTTACAACTTTTTCTAGTAATAACTTTTTTGTTAAAAAAGAAATTAGCATTTGGTGTTTTAGAAATGAAGTGGCAATATTGATTAAGTAAGTGGCGAAATTAGGGGTAAACAATTGATGGATTTAATTTTAAAAAATTAATAATCAAATTAATCAATTTTTATTTAATAGGTAATTGAAAAAATTAAAAATTTTTAAAAAACGGATTATAATCAAATTAATTAAAATTGATTTAATTCGATCAATTTAATTCAATAATATAATTTTTATTATTTTTTATCATAAATAATTATTTAACTATAAATTTAATTTAATAAAATTTAAATTCAAGTATTATTTAAACTAATCATTAAAAATTTAATAATTTTAATTACATTTTATAAAAACAAATAAAAATATTTATCTTAATTTTTTTATCTTTTGATTGAATTATCAATTTTAAAAATAAAAAATTAATCGATTTAATCACTTTAATTATCTAAAAAAATTAATTATAATTAAAATCGAATAAATCAAATCAAATTAGTCATTTTTCGTAGATTTGGATCATTAAATCAATTTAAACCGAATCATTCCTTGTGAAATTTCTTAACAAAAATAACTGTTGAGTAAAGTAAATAGAAGCTCTGGTCCTATCCACGAATAAGAACTGGTACTATAGCCTTCGTTTGGTGATACCGACTAGTATCATATAGTGGAAAGCTAGGCTAGATAGCTAGCCACCTTTCAGTCCGGAAGTTATCGCTGACTGAGCCACGCGAAGAGTACCAGACGAGTGCTTGTACGTCTACCCATTTAGGCAGTCGAGTTTAGCTGAGGGTGTTTTTTTTTTTTTTTATATAATATATTATTTATTTTTATTTTAATTAAGATTAAAATAGTAATTTTGTAACATTAAGATTAATATAATTTTTTTATGTATTTTGAAATTATTTTGCTTAATATATGTTGTAATTCCAATGCCTATAATTCATTTTCTTATGTAAAAATATATATTTGAATTCAGATGACGAAAAAAATTGATTTTTGTTATTGTAATTTAAAATTATTTTAAATGGAGAATATTTTTCATTCGTTTACTCTATCTTTGTCACCCTTAAAACATTACAAATGTTCACACGCAAATGGCACAAGTAAAAATATAATAAGCATAGATATTCTTAGCCTTAGCCTTAGTTACTTGTTGATGGCCTCCTTTGGTGGTTTCACAATTAGGGTTGGACATTTTGCATGGTGTGCACAGTAATCACTTACACTTCCTAACAAAGCTCCGCAATCAAAACCCACAAATGAACTTAAAAAACAGAGCCTACTGAAAGATACTCTTAGCCACAAACAAAAAGCATGGAATCAGTCATGAAGTGGAGCCTAAATCCACAAAGAAAAATATGATAAAAAAAATCACCTTTTAATCTTTCCGAGGCCACGGCTGCCAATAATAAGGAGGCCAACATTCATTTCCTCACTAATTTCACATATCATAACCTTTGGGTTCCCTTCAAGAATCAGAGTTTCTGCTTTGATCTGCATCAGGTTAATATTTTGGTGACTTCCATTGGCATCCGTAGATACTTATTTCTTTCATATTATCATTGTTGTAAATGATAAAACCTGGGCAAAAAGTAAAAGTTGTTGAGTTACCATCTTAGTGTTGCATATCTGCAATGCACAGGGAGAGTATACCAGTAGAAATTTGTTCTTGGGATTTCTTTACAGAATCCAATACTGTAGCTGTTGGATACAACGCTGTAAAACAGAGAAGGAAACTTGTACTAGTATATCAACAGGTTTTGTAGTTCCAGGTTCTTAGCCCTGGTTTAATCCTGAAGCCGGCAGCCCTTTAAGTCAAGGAATTCAATCTTGTTTTAAATAAGAATCTTTGTTTTTTTGCCAATGTTTTCTGAAAAGATTTTACCACAAGCTATCTCGTTGAGGACCATTTATGGGCGTAATTTTCAAAAATAAAACATAATAATTATATAAAGGAAAGAAATTGGTCAAAGAAATTAGATGCCAAAACCACATTTATGAATTAATTATCATGAATAGTTTTATTACCTGCAACTTCTGGTCTAGCTCCAGGGAAGCCATAGGGCTGGAAAGGCTGTTGTAAATGAACCAACGTGAGCAAGCCAGCTCTCTCGTCAGCCACGGGTGATGCACTAAGGTCACTGAAAAGGTTATCAAGGACCCATTGAAGCGCATAGAAACTATCATCACTATCATCAATTCCCACCATAACTCTCATCCTCTGTCCTTGCAAGCAACGAAAGAATCTTTAAATTTGGTGGATTCTAAATGCTTAAAAAGGAAACAAAGAATGTGCTGCATATATCTTGATTGCACACCTGGATAAACCGTGGGAAACGTGGAACTTCGGAATGAAAATTTTATATAGAAATGATACGTTGCATACATTTGGCTAAAAGTTCCAAATCTAGCATGCAAAATAAGTTTGTTTGCTTTTTCTTGTTAAAGTATTGAATCAAGAAAGAGACAACAGAAAAAGGGTAGCCCATTTTGTTTGCAACGTGAAGAGAGAAACCAGCCCGGGGATCACCAAAACCGGTGCTGAGAAAAGCAGAAGGAAACAAACACAGAAAAAGGGTAGCCCGTTAATTAATTCTTCTGACTCATAAGCAGAAAGGAAGATATTGTTTTTGTTCTACTGCTTGTGTTTTACCACTGCTTGGGTTATTTGACCTTCATCTTTGTTTCAAAAAATTCAAAGACTTTGAAACCCAGGGAGTGGTAAAACACATGCGGTGGAACAAAATAATATCCCCCTTTCTGCTTATGAGTCAGAAGAATTGATTAATTTTCCAGTCCTGTTTGGCAAGCATAGTTTTCATTTCAGGACGACTGAGGGCCTCGAATTTGGGTTGGGAAAGGCCCTTTAGTGTTTGATTCAAGCCCGAACCTCATTTTTGGAGTTAAAATTAATATTTTTTATTTAAATTCTATTGAAATTTTGAATAAAATTTTGAATTTAGACGAACAATTCAATTTTTGAGCAGATTCAACAATTATATTTAACATCATATTTTATTTGGATTATTTTTGAAGGTTTGTTAGAAGCAAGATTTAACCATATTGTAATTACAGACTTTATTTTTTTTCTGCCTACTTTCATTATTATTAAAAAAATAAATTTAAGTTCTCTTTGATTAATATTTTGTTATTTGTATTCAACTTTTAAAAAATAATTAAAGAATAAATAAATTAAGAAAATATTTACTTTGATTTTAACATATCCTTCCGCGTGAAAATTCATTGACTAGGAATCGAATATTCAAAGTCGTTGCATGCCGTGATGCTCAAGGTATAAGGAAAAAGGAGCAATACAAAAAAATTTAAAAAAATACCTTTAAAATTAAAATAAAAATACTACCATATCAAAGAGTCAGCGAAGTCGCGAGTAAAAAAAAAAAAAAAATGAGGTAGATCGTGGTAGGAAAATCGATTAGGGAGAAAGAGAGAGCGAGCGCAGCTTTGGCCACTCTACTCACCACGCGCATGAGCCTCCACAATCTGCCTCGTCACTAACTCGTACGTCTCCCTACTGGTTTCCCACGTGTCTTCTTCCTATTTGCTTGTCATTATCGCCGCATCCCCACCAGGATTTCCGTATTCCCCAAAAGACCACCAATCTATCCTTGAAATGTCAATAATACCCCTCCCGTTGAAGTAAAACTCAAATGGCCTTCTTTCTGTACCAGGTTTTTCGTTGGTCGCTTTGCAGTGCCCGCTTCTTCCCTTCCCCATCCCTCAATCAAAATTCACTTTTCTTTTTATTTTTGGTTTTGCTTTCTGATTTTAATTTTCCTTTTAATTTCTCCGATTTCTGATCGGACGGTTCACATCTCTCCACCTATGACTATGATGACTACTCCGCCGTTAGATGTACATACCACCACTCTCCCTTCCCTCTCAATAAATACTTAATATTTTTCCTTGATTTTTTCTTGGTGGAAGTGCTTAAAGATATATATATATATATTTTTGTTTTCTAAAGTTTTTTTTTCTATTTTTTAAAATTGATTAATGATTATTTAGATGTGAATTTCGTGGAATTAATTCTGTTGTTCTTATTGCATTGAGAGTGTGATAATTAGGGTTTTGATTGAGAGAGTTTGGGTTAAGTTTTGGTTGATCAGTGCTTTGATTTTTTTGGAAGTTTGGATTTTGAAACAGCAAGAAGACGAGGAGATGATCGTGCCTCATTCGGATATAGTCGAAGGACCTCATCCAATGGAAGGTTCTTTTAAAGAATTTTTTAGTTTACTCTAATTCGCATTATTGTTTTGATAATCTTAGGTCAATCCGAAAGATTGGTTTTTTGTAACTACGTTGTGGTTTAGTACGAAATAATAATTTGATTAATTAGGTTGTTAGGGTTTTTAGATTTTTTGTCGATTTTATGATTTTGATTAATTTTAGTTGCTCAAGTGGAGCCGGCTAGTACGGTGGAGAATCAGCAAGTGGAGGAGCCTCCATCAATGAAATTCACTTGGACAATTGAGAATTTTTCTAGGCTCAACACCAAGAAGCACTATTCAGATATATTTGTTGTCGGTGGTTATAAATGGTAAGGGGGACTTTTCTTTGTTTTGTCCTTATTGGAGTATGTTTGATTTGGTCTCCTGCAATCTGTCTTGTGATCGACTTTGGATGTGGGGATGATTCTTCCGTGCAGGCGGATACTAATTTTTCCCAAGGGTAACAATGTGGATCACTTGTCAATGTACCTGGATGTTGCGGATTCTTCTGCATTGCCCTATGGTTGGAGTAGATATGCTCAGTTTAGCTTGGCTGTGGTTAATCAGATCCATCACAAATATTCAATAAGAAAGGGTATATTCTTACTTTTACTAAGTTTGTTGTTTTGTCTTAAGTAATAATTTGTGACAACAGCCTTTATTGGGAAAATCCTATCTTTTCATTCCTATATATGAAGGCTTCAACAGGGTTTCAAATAGCGCAGGTGTTGTGGTGTAGCAGCACCCTCCACGACCGCTATTCACCCACTATAGGGTTGTGAATGGCAATCACACTCATAGTGGAGCTTTGCAGCCACAAATAGCAGCGTAACATCCATTAGCGGTTGTAACGGTATGTTACAGCCGCTTTCCGTATTTTCCAAATCAAATCACACGATAAACAAAATCAAACCAGAGAAGAAAACCCACCCTAACTTCAAACAATTAAGTCAAAATCCAACAAATTTAAGCGTCAAACAAAAAAAATGAAATTAATTCATGGTAAAAAAAAATACCCATTTTTTGAAATTTGAGTCTCAGATGGTTTGAAGAAAGAGCTCTCATCTAGCCTCCACACCCGTTGACTTTAGGCTGTGCTCTGTATTGTCTTCTCCAATTTTGACTCTTGAGAGGGATAGATAAATGAGACATGGCAGTTTAAAATCTCTTGAAGGAGAGGCAGTGAGCATCTGAGCAAGATAAGAGGGTGGTTGGTTGTGTTTGGTGACTCTGTTGCAAGATGGGGAAGAAAACTAGAGACCGAGGAGGGACGAGAAACAGAGGAAAATGGGATGGAGATTTGGAAGGTTAAAACCATGCTCTACTACTGGCGAGAAGGGAAGAATATGGGTCTGGAGTTTATTGAGAATTTGGTTTACAAAGTGAAGGCTGATAGTGATGTCACGTGGTTTTAAAGACTAAAATTGATTTTTTTTTTTTTTGGGTTTAGGGGAAATTTTTGGAGAGAAAAGTACATATGGGTGGGAAATGAATATTTGGGAAATTTTTAGTGATTTAAATGAAATTTTAAGAGGGATGTTAGCTCTTAATTAGTTAATTTAATTTTTTATAATTTAATACATTTTACAATCATTTAATTTAAAAGAATTAATTTTATTATATAATTTTGATATTATTAAGGTTATTGTTAATTGAATTTTTTTTGTAAGCTTGGCTATGGTTATGTTGCTAACTCTTACATTAGTTTTGTTAATTAATTATTTAAAATGTTGCACTTGGGTATTTGATTTAATGGTAAAATACAAGTACCTATATTCAAGGAATTATATTTTAATCCCTTACCCCGATAATCATATCTTATAAAAGAAAATTTAATGTTCATCATCATTCTTCCTAATAAGATTAAATATGTATTTATAACATTCATGTCCATAAAATTCATGAATGTATTAGCGAACATGTCAGATATACCTATTAATTTATGAGTTGTAACTAAAAATTTTATTTTAACATATAAATGAAAGAATTAAAATGTCATAAATTACTTTAAATATAAAAATAAATGCTATTATGATTATAATAATTATTTAGTTCATTTTATGATAAGTTGTGTAAAATAGAAAAAAAAAAAAATTCACGACTGCAACTACCACTATTTTATTTGTTACGTCCACAACCGCAATAAACATGATGTGACCGAAAATGTGACGGAGGCCGCAATTTAAATCCCTGGGCTTTAATTTAATGCAATCTTGCATTACCTGGAAAGAATTTGTTTCTTGGACTTGTAGTCAGTGCTTGATTGTGTCTTTCGTTTTGTAGTGTTCATTTATTGGCTGTTGCAGTAGCTGATGTTTCATCTGAACTTGTTTCAGTTACAATTATGCTCTTTTTCAAGCTGGGGGAATATGAAGAACAATAGGAGATTCAAGATTTGGTTTCATCTGTTTATTTATTATTTATTTCACTTGGATATTGAGAGGAATTGACTAGAAAGGCAATAGGATGTTACGGAGAATCTGTTGTAACCTTTATAAAATTCCAAAATTAGAGAGGTTTTTTAGTTTTCATAGTTCTTAAAACTGTCTTATTGCTCAAAATATTAGGATCTTCGTTTTGGTGATAATGAAAATTTAATGCTACTCAAACCTGTCTTATTTCTCAAAAGATTAGCATCTTCCTTTTGGCATTCTATCTATACAACCTTTTATTGAATTATTTTTAGATTTTCCAGACAGCAAGATATTAGCAGGATGCTAACTGTAGTTATTTGTATCATTTTTCCTTGTTAATTTTCTCTGACAAGCGTTCTGTACCAAATGGAGTGATAACAAGATCTTTTATGTAGCATTGCCTTGTTCTATATTTTTATCCTTTCTATTAACATGTTTGGCCTGCTTTTGCTTATATATTAGTGAACATAATGAATATTATGTTCGAATTATTTTCTGAACAACCAACCAATTCCTGTCATTCCTATTTTATGGTGACCAAGTAATATTGCAGAACTGGAAAACAGTTTGCCCGTGGTTAAATTTTAAGAATGATATTGGTATGAAAGGGTTATAATATTGCAATGTTTTCTGAAATTGATAATTTATTCCAGA